AACAAACCCATAAATTAGGGTTAAACATGAACACATTTTTTTGATATTGTATAACCCAATTTGTTAGGATTTAATGGTTGAACATCTGATAGAAACTTGTACATTTTGGATCGTAATAATGTTGCCACCGACAAACAACTAAAAGACCGACGATTACCAAACACTTGTGTAACATTCGTATTTCCTTAATATCGAAAATTTAGAAATTCAAGTTAATGGTTTTAATATTTGATCTAAAATATTATTTCCTTTGATGCATAAAAGAATTCAAGAATGAATTAAGAAAATCTATGTTTTTTGAATTGGGTTGGAAGGCCTTCAGTCATTGTGGTTGGCCACCAAAAAAAAAAAAAATGGGGGAAATAAATTAGTTTTTGGGTTTAAAAGGCAAGGACCAAAAATTTTATCTGGTAAAAGCGATGATAAGGATGAAGAGTCATACCCGGTAAGTGAGAGTGACGACTCTTATCCGGGTAAGCACTTACCGGGTAATTGTTGCATAGGATACTGTTTTGATGTACTGCAATCTTATCCGATAAAATAAATTATAGTATTGACTCCAACTGGTAAACGCTTACTGGGTAAGCATTTGGATAAACAGCCCCTAAATGATGTGCACCTCATCTAAGTGCTAAATATTTATCTTGAATATTTGATTCATAAATGATATTTGACCTAATTATGATTTTAAGGCATTAAATTTTGATGATGAGTATTTATATATGCAATTAAGTTCATATATTATGTTATGTGTAGTTAAAATATCACTGGGAGTCTACTTTGAATATGATGAGTTTACATGGCATCATGACATATGTTGGCACAAATGGGAGATAGATTATGAGTAAATGAATTTATGTGTACATTTTGGGTTATTTATGTGGAAAAGAGGGTTATAAATGCGCACATATGATGATATTGGATCCTAATACTTATGTAAGAGGAACAGATGAGTTGTTGAGTCAACGTTGTATATTTATTTTCTTTGAATTACTAGTAAGTAGACGGTAAAGGTCCACCAGGATTCTTGAGGTGAAACTTGGCTAGAGAAATAAGTAGGCACAAATGGGGGTTTGAGGTGCGCCATGAATGTGTTGTGCACTAAAACCATGAACTTTAGAAGTAGTCCCAATAACATCATTATGTGGCAATACTTTTGTGTTCCCGCCACTTTGATGGAAACGGGCCTCCTCCGTCATTGGAAGAAGTTTCTAATGTATAATGTCCAAGTTGAGATAATTTTGTTGTGGTGCATAGGTTTTGTACCTCTATTACAGAATGGGTAACACTTTAAATTATTACCCTTACCTTCCTGATGAGTTATTTTGTTGGGATCTCACTATGTGTCAAATCTAACATTTGTTCTTAATTATGTGGTTTTCAGGTCTTGCTAGTGGTGTGTCTAAGACTGCCTAATAGACTTGGTTGGTACTACTAGAAGTATCAAGGGTAGGGACTTTCGGGGAGCACTTGAGTAGAAGTTGAGTTTTTGGAGACACAGTAACCCCCGATTGTGATATAGTTTACTCGAGATTAGATTTATTAGGTTGTTGATTATGTTTTAATTATTGAATATTGTGCTATTTGGCGAACTTTCCCTCCATGGGTTTAAGCCGTTTTATATTTTTGGGAATTTTTAGTTGTATGGAAGACATTTTCTCGTTTTAAATTTTGGGGCCTTACAACTTGAAGTTGATAGTCTGATGGCCAGTTACTGAATGTAGATACATTGAAAGATCAATAACTGAGACGAAACAACTAATGGAATGAAAGATCAATAGTTGCTATGACTCTGCAGTAGTTGAAGATAATATTTGCTCATTGGGTTCTTAGTTTGGTTGGTCTTATAATTTATCGTATACTTTGAGGGTTGATCTTGTTTAAACTTTCATTTGTATTATGCACAAGATTATTATGTACACATATGGCTACATACAAAAGTAGTTATAAACTTTTCGTTCATATAATTACATGACTTGAATAATACAAATTCACATATCATATACATATACATATTTAGCTTCCCAAAAATCCACAGATGTAAAATAATAACAAATCCTTTCACATCTTTGCTGATGTTATGAGTATAATTCCTCACATCTCAAGGATGTGATAAATCCCAGATGTCGCACCACAATGATGCGATAAACGTTGTCCTCGCACCCCACTGATGTGATAACATAAATCTTCGCATCAAGCAAATGTGATACCTCATTTTCTCGCATCATACTGATGCGACAACACAATCTCATCGCATCATCAAAATGATGCGATAACATTATCCCGTGATCAAAAGATCTCAGTTCCAGAAATTGATTATGTCACCCTTATCCCAGTATACGCCTCTCATGATTTTGCCACCCTTATTTCGAATGTACATCTCTCTTAATTATGTCATCCTTATCTCAATATACACCTCTCCTGATTATGCCACCCTTATTCCAATCAGTTGATAATAACATATCAATACCCAAATTTACGCTAACACATAACAGTTAATCATGTCTGAATACAACCCAAAACCATACGGTTTCATAACAAAAAATCATTTCATATAAGGTTTTAAAATAAAACTCACCTTCAAATTACCAGAATGAAGACCTTAAACAACAATCAATTATCAGATAAAAACATGTAGTCTTTTGTTTTCTTCGAACTAGAGAATAAAAACACACTACTTTGTTTTTCTTTTCTCTTCTTATCCCCAAAAGAAACAAGAAAATAAAATATGCACATACACACAAATATCTCCACCTAAGGTGGTGGAGTTTAAATCTTTCAAACCATTATCCACAACACACCCCTCAACTTATTGTCACTTTTCAAAATTCACCCCAAATTTTCTCAAATAAAACACCCTTATAACAAAACTTATTTCTAAATTTCTTGTATTAAACCCGCTTCTACATATACTTATGTTACTGTTTAAGTATTATGGGAAAATCCTTTTAACATCGAGTTATATTTGTATAGTATTCTCTAATGAGTTCAGTATCTCAATATGTATTATGTTATTAGATGAAAATCCGTTCAAATTCTTTTTTTTTTATATATACGTACTTTGCCATACCTACTTAGAAGTTTTTTTAAAATGTACATTTTTTAAAAAAAGTAGGTAAACAGATTTATTTGAATGCCTTTGAAAATTGAACTGTTATATAGAGAAAAACTTATCGGTTTTATAGTTTCTTGATAATGACTTACGATGTAAAATTATTTACTCAATCATACTTTAAAAAATGTTTATTTTAATGCAAAGATGACAAAGTTTGAAAGAGAGCAAATCACACTTTTGGTCCCTAGAGTATATCAAAAATTACGAATCTAGTATTTATAGTTTGTTTATTACATTAGTGGTCATAATGGTTTTCTCAATTCTTATGGATTTAATCCCTAAACCTTTGATGAATCTTTGGAAGATAAAGGAAGAAACTTCCAATCTTTTATAGGTGTTTTGTTCGAAATGAAAAAGGGTTTATATGTATTGTGTGTCAGCGCCTGCCAAATCCTAGAAGCTCTTAAACAAGCTTCGTACAAGTTGCAAAAAAACCTTGATTCTAAGAAGATTATTGGCAAAAAAAAAAAGCTTCCTCTATTAGTTTGCCATTAATGATCTGCTCGAGCTTGACGATGAATCAGATCCATCCTATCCAATGACCCTCACTTGGAAACTTTACCTACTATATATTAGCTCTCATCCATAACTCCTATAACACCATCAATACTACCGTAGACTTGGGACATGCTTGATTCGTTGAGTCAGCTCAAACGAGATATCCAGGGTGATTGGCTTGACCAAGTCTAGAATTCAAACGTTGACTAATAAGGAGTTTATTGAAACATTGACACTTGCAGTGGAGGATGATAAGGTATTGAGGAGAAAAAAGGGGGGGGGGAGAGGGGGAAACAGTGGCAGATCTAGAATTTTTGGTGATCAGGTGTAAAAACATAAATCATGGTCACTTGTTCAGATGGTTGCAATGTCATTTAATCAAATATTCATTGAAACCTTGACACTTCATTTTCTTTCCGTTGGGATGGACTCCACAAAAGATCATTCAAATCAATATTCCCAGGCATCGAATAAGTAGCAGTACTAAGCTGGGGAATATTACAAGAACCATCATCACCACTACCGGTTCCAAATTTTGGTCATTTTCTTTTGAATTAACAATTAACAGATAACAATTAGGCATCAACTAAAGAGCCCTAACCTTAACAATTAATTATTAACAAAAAATTAACAAATATAAATTAACCAATAAACCTTAACTCTAACAACTAATAATTAATGTAAAAACAAATTATATAAAAGTTAACAAGGAAACTGAGCCGTATTTCGCTCAAAGGGTTGAAAGAAGATAGTACATCAAACTGTTCGTAAGGGCCAACTTGATTCTCTTCTCTAGGGATCCCCTAAAATTTTTGTAAGGTCAAACCTTAATATTGTTGGGGGTCAAAATATACATACATTTTTTGAAACCTTATGGGGGTCATTGACCCCTAAAACCAAGCCATAAATCCGCCCCCGAGGGGCAGAGTTTATGCTTCTACGTTGAATGAGAATGGACAAAAGGAAAAAGGGAAGGGAAGGGAAGGGATTTCATATATTTTGTTTGAAGTTATGCAAATTACTAAAATGCCCTCACATGAGAGGGATGTGAGAAGCATTCGTCATAAAATTTTAACAGTGTTAGTCAGAAGAATCAATTTCATAAGAATTTATAAACAACAGAACAGTGTTCATGAATATAATAAACGAACCATAAATGCGAAACCTGTAATCTTTAGAGGGACCAAAAATGAGGTTACAAAAAGGAGAAAGGGTGTGCAAGTAATTTGGATTCAAATAAGGGAAGCGACAGCTTAGATGTGATGTATTACTGAAGAAGCCACGTGTGGAAGAGACAAAAAAGCAAAATCAGTCTAGCATACGCACCCCACAACACCACACTCCTTGGCTTCTTCACTGCCATAAATGCATTCACAGGTACAGTAACTCTCCATTATTGGATCAGTTACTTGGTTCTCTTCCTAACCTACAAAAACACAGTGATTTCTACAGTACCCATCCATAAAATAGTTTCAACTTGTTCCACATTTCTAGCTGGTGTTTTTTCAGACCGGTTAGTTTCAATTTCTCTCTTCTCTCAACATTTTTTTACTGTCAATTTTGCGTTTCCGAAACCCTAAATATAATCTTTAATAATACCGTTAATGGGTTTCCCAAATTGCGGTTGAAGTTCTTGGTTTCAGTAGATGTAATACTTGTAGGGTAGGCTTCAGGCGACCATGATGTAACAATGATGATCTTGTTTCCTTTTTGTTTGTAAAGGTTTGTTTTCTCTACGGTTGCTGTGGTTAGTTTGACAGAGCAACCATGTTTGCATTTTCTCGGAAAGGGAAGAAGCTTGGAAGGTGAGGGTTTTCTGTCTATTTATATAGCAATTGTGTGTATGTGTGCAGATAGGACTGTATTTGGATGTATGTTTATGTGCGTGTAGTGATTATTGATTGTTTTGATCCTGAAAGTAATGTTGAACCATGAAGCAAAATGGTAATTTCTTCTGAACCCTGTTGTGAAATCATATCCAACAAAATAAAATGACCATACAAAAGGTTGATTCTTGTTTGGAAATTAGGGGTAATTATTTGGTTTCTTCTAGATTAAAGAATTTTCGGACCTACAGGATTAAACGCTCATTGGTGATGGTTAACATTATTTGGGAATAACAGATATTTGAAATATGTACGTTTATACACCGGTACAAGCATTAGCTTGTGGGGAATGTTTCTAGACTATATTGATGGTTCAGTGATATCTGATGTTAGCTTAGTTTTACATTTCTTGCTATTAAGGAAACCATAGATTTTGGAGCAGTGACGTAATGTAAGTTCTTGACAGGAAACTTATTTTGGATAGCATGCTTCTCTTTGCTTCTTTTAATTCTAGTTTCTGAACATACCTTACCCTTTAGAGTGAATGTGTAGCGTTCTAGGAGACGCCAGCATTGTATCATAAGTTAAATAAACAAATGCTTTTCGTGTCACTTGTAAGTGTAAGGTGGAGTATAGCTAAGGTGGTTGGTCCACTTGTCATACATAAATTGATAATGCTTGAAACTTATTGAAAGTACAAGTAGTTTGGACTACCCTTGGCTAAATAAGGGAGATACAACTAATAGAGGACTTAATGAAGAGTTAGGGTTTTCTCTTTCTATTTTTTTCATTATCATTATACAGACGCACCCATATATATATATATACACACACACACACACACACATACACATATAGATAGATAGAGAGAGAGAGAGGGAGGAAGAGTGGGACAATGTGCTCTGAGTCTGTGGTTATGTATTGTCTTGCTATGGTGGGTTCCCCTGACAAAAGATGACATTGTCTTTGGCCATTCCAAAGATATAATGCTTCTATAGAATTCTTCATGTATACTTTTAGATGCAATAAAATTTATGTTCATTCCTGCTGCAGTACATAATTTCTAGTATTACCATATAATGGTGACTCAATCACAGGTTCCATGAAATATATGTTGTTTTTTGATTGATTATCCTCCATTGTAGAACAAGTGAGAGGTGTAATACAAGAAATGTAAACATGTTAGTACATTTTAATTTATGAGACTTTAAGCTTCTTATTGATAGGCATTAAGTAATGTATATCCATCAAACAATTTCCTGTAGTTGGTGTTAATTGGATTCTCATCTTCTTTCTGTAGAGTAAAAGTTCAGCTTTCTGACTCTGCTCAGGGCACACGCAGTCCTGTTCGACACCCCAAGCGCATAAACAATTCCCATGTAAAAACTTAAAATCTTGCTCATTTTATGCTGCATTACATCAATGATCGACCCTTCAAGTGTCAAAGCCTGATGATTTTGTTTGTTTTATATCTATTGTTGGGTTTAAACATCACAGGTGGATGGTGTTACGGCTGCTACCAATGATTCTGATGATAATAACCGCTGTTCATCCACTACACCCGAGCTAGACAATTCCACCTGTGGGAACAGTGAAGGATGGAAAAAGCTTCCGACTAGTGGGGATAAGCCTACCCCTCGTTTCAATGTAACACATTCTCTAACCACCATTCCAGGATTGCAGTTTAATACACAGTCCTATGAACACCTAAAGGTTGTGTCAATCTGAAAGTAAATGGTTACTCTTTGCTCCTGAATAGCATGCAGCAGCTGTAATTGGAAAGAAGATGATTATCGTTGGTGGTGAATCTGGAAACGGTTTGTTAGAAGATGTACAGGTAAAAGAATATCTTTTTCCTTCTGTCAATTTTGTCTTTAAATTACAAGAGTTGGTTGGACACTTGCATGTTTTTACCTTATCATGTATATTTTTGTAGAACTCTAGCAAGAATCACTTGCTAATGCGGGAAATTCTTTTTGGAGTCTACGTTGATAGATTAGAAACTGCATTCAAAATACTGAGAGTTGTTTATATTTGCTTCTTGTTTCAGGTTCTCAATTTTGAGAATTTTACCTGGACGGCAGCTTCATCAAGACTATACCTTTCACCATCTAGTCTTACACTAAAGATTCCTGCATGCAAGGGTCATTGTTTGGTATTATTAGTATCTTACACTTGTTATATTGCTGATTATGTATTATGTTGTATGCTGTGTAGGTATGTATCCTTGATAAAAGGCAAACTGGAAATTCAAAACTAATATTATTATGTAGAATAATTACTAGAAACCTCACTTATACGGTTATACCAGTGGCCATTTGATGCAGAGATGCCACCCATATTTCCTAATGCAGAAGACAGGCCATATATTATGGATAACATCTTAATTAATGACCTCTATTCCCCCCTTCTAGTGTTGCACTTAATATATTACATTGCGATCTAGTAGGAGTTTGGTAAAAAGAGTACTTCAAAACGGCAGCATATTATTCTATTCAGTCTGTTTAGACCTTATATGATAATTTGTTCTTTGAATATTAATAGGATGCTAATTAACTTTTATATGCTTTTCCGATTACCAAGGCTTGAACTGAAGCTCTTACCTTTTTGAGGCGTACGATGGCAACCTAAATCTGAGCATAGATACTTTAATCTAGTAAGAATTTTGTCATAGTTGTAATCACAGGCGTGACAGGTCTAATAAAATTGCAAAACAGACTCAGCCTATCCTCCTACGTGCCTTGCTGTGAGATATCTCCTTTCACATTTTTATTTTCTTGGATTCAATTTTGATTAAACAATTGACTTGGTCAATGGTCCAGTTCTTTAGAGCCAACTGTCTAGTTCCTATAATGTTTCTGCACATATAGACACATTTACTTTCATTTTGCCTAACTTCACGTTGATGTTTCGGGATTTACTTTAATTAAATACCATTTGCTTGTATTTTTATGGAAATAGGATCATACTCTAGTCAGCTTGAGTACGCTTGCCAGCTATTGAGTTTCATTCTAGTTCAGTATTGAGTTTCATTCTAGTTCAGTTTAGTTATTGAATATTATGCTCTATATTATAGCTCATGCCCAGTAATACCATTGGATTCTTTGTGCCTTTGGCCAGCAATTAACTTTTTCTTTTTCATTATTAGGTACCTTGGGGGAAAAAGGTGCTTTTGATTGGAGGGCGAACTGCCCTGCAAAGTGATCGAGTGTCAGGTTGTTCAATCTAACCGCTACACCACTTTTCACTTTTACTTGGTTTGTAGTCTTACAAATCCTGGCTTTGGCAGTGTGGGCATTTGATGCAGAAACAGAGTGTTGGTCACTTATGGAAGCAAAAGGAGACATCCCGGTAATCATTCTTGCCCAACAGAAACTCCAATATTAGTTTTGCAAATATGTGATGGGGTTCCTGATGGTCTTGATGGCTGTCATTTTTGCCGGTCCTAGCTTGAGAAAATTGAGATTTTTTAATCACCCGTTCCGTTAATCATATTTGCTATTTCATGGAATGTTTCTTTGTATGTAGTTGATTTCATTTGGTAGTATATCTATAGCACATAAACAGATCTTTTTGTATCACTTCAGGTTGCTCGAAGTGGCCACACTGTAGTCCGAGCAGGCTCTGCATTAATCCTTTTTGGAGGTGAAGATATGAAGAGGAGAAAATTAAATGACCTACATATGTTTGATCTTAAGTCACTGACATGGCTTCCTCTTCATTGCACGTAAGAAGCTTTCAATAACAGTCGCGGTTTACATCATTCACTCCAAGTTAAGGAAAATTGATTAACACACTTGATTCATTAATTAGTTGCTAATGATGAAAATCAAACCAAATTAAAACCCAGTGAATCCTGGTATCCCGCACGGAGTAGGGGTTGATGTAAGCATACCTTACCTCTACCCCAAGGGGTAGAGAAACTGTTTCTGCAAAGACCTTTGGCTTGTAAAAAAGGTTTTGGGAACAGGATTTTGCCAAAAAAAAAAATTTGTTCAAAGTTTGATACAATGGAAAGAGATTAGAAATATAAAAGAAAGAGAAGTTTAGAATAATTAAAGTAGTAGATGGCACAAATAATAAAGCACACAAGGACATTAAATGAAGCCATGCCGGAAACTCCTAGGCGGCCACTTAAGCATCGGTAGGAAGGGATTTTTATCACACTCTTAACAGCTTGTACATTTACACATGCTATCAACTAAACTTTGTCCGTGTATCTCTATATGGTTAGGGGACCTGGACCTTCTGCAAGATCAAATCATGTTGCAGCTCTCTATGATGATAAATTGCTTCTAATATTTGGAGGAACTTCAAAGTCGAAATCTTTGAATGATTTGTACTCGCTTGACTTTGAGACGGTGCGTATACAGATCATTATTCTCTCATCTAACCATTCAAAGTTGATTTAAGTGGAATATGCTCAAACAAACACTCAGTGAATTATCAGTTGCACATAAAACAGTCTCTTAAAGTACATGGATCTTTTTTTTTCAGATGATGTGGTCAAGAATTAAGATACGGGGATTCCATCCATCACCTCGAGCTGGTTGTTGTGGAGTCTTGTGTGGAACAAAATGGTATATTGCGGGAGGTGGCAGCAGAAAAAAGCGTAAGTCTTCTAGGTGAAAAAACATATTAATATAAATTAATTTATATTAAGCATTTGAGAAAATAAAACTCCCTGATGTACTTCTGTGTGAAATGAGAAGAAGTCATCTGCTTAACTTACTACTTGACTTCTGTTATCAACCAGTTTTTGAAAAACTATAGCTTGGGTGAGAAATACATGTAGATAACCAGAGGGGTGCATATGGGATGGTTGGGCAGGTTGGGGACATTTGATAACCCAATCCAACCGAACTACTTTGGCCTAGAACATCACAACCTGTTAATAAAATATGTAACATCCCAACCCAACCCATTACACTTTGGATTGGGTTGACCATAGTTGTAGAAAGATTTTGCATACTTGAGGTTTTTGATTTATACCACTTCATGTTTGTTGGATTCAATGGATGGTTAAGATATGTATCATTATTTGATGCTGGAGACGGCTCATATTCTAGTGAAAAATGAAATGACAAAGCCTTTGTTTGAGACTTGACAAAGGAACAACAAGTACAAGTTAAGAAAGAAATCAATCTATCAACCACCAAACTAAGACTTCTATGTCTGATAGAGAGATCTGGGAGTTGTACCTTGCGGACATGCTGAGCCTCTTAATTTTCATGAAGAAAGTTAATGATTGCTCTAGGCTAGACTCTGCAAAGTTGTCCGGTTGGGTGGGTTGGCAGGTTTATCAGGTTTTTGTGCAGCCCTCCAGTTCCTCTTTTGTTGGCGCCATAAAAATTCAAGCATTTACTTGGTTTACTGTTAATGTTGGTTTTAGTAAATAGTATTGTAATTCACCATCAGCATACTCGAATATATTCTGAAGTTCCCCACATTTTGATTTATGCATCATCTTTTGTACCATATACATACTCCACCACAATCAGTGCGCATTTCACTTTTTGTTTCTTTTGTTCTCTTTAACTTTATGGGAAATATCTAAGTGGTAGATTTATGTGTTGTATTTCACTTTTATTTGGAACAAAATATCAATTTATAAACCCCCCTAACTTTAAGATAAAAATCACGAGTTTGTGCTCTCTCTATGTGTATGTATATTTTCCTTGATTTGATGATTTAACATTTTTCCGTTATCAGGGAAATCTTTTGAAATATCTCATTTTCCTCTGCACGTTGATTTTAGGGATGCTGAAACATGATAATTAGCAGAAACCCACATAGATTGTCTATATATAGACATGTGGTGATGGATAATTTATAGCTAGAAATCATGAATTCTTTTTATCATCCAAGTTTTTAGCAGGATGCTGAGAAGTTGCATGATGTTGATATGTAAAATGCATTGTTCATGGAAGAAGAATATTATTAATAACTTGCTTGGAATCTATCCCCTGAATATAGACATGTGGTGATGGATGATTTATAGCTAGAAATATGATTTTTTTTAATCATCCAAGTTTATAGCAGATGCTGAGAAGTTGCATGATGTTGATATGCAATATGCATTGTTCATGGAAGAAGAATATTATTAATAACTTGCTTGGAATCTATCACCTGAATATAAATCTGGCTCTTCCTTTTTTCTTCCACCAGCCTGCAGTAGCCTTCTTTAATATACTTTTCTTTTTACTTTAAATAGGGCATCCAGAGGTATTAGCGTTTGATATCTTAAAACGGGAGTGGTCTGTTGTTCTTGCATCATCCCAACAATCTATCACCACCAACAAGGTACTGTTTTCTGATTTTAGTTTCAATATTTATGATTATGATTTACCATCTGGAACCCAAGAACCCTGTCCATATAAAGAGTTAATGAACCAACCATCATAGAAGCGTAAGTAGTCAGTCCCCTGGAGTAATCACTGCTCACATTTCGGGTCATACGGAGGTGTGTCATTGTTTATGAACCATAAAAGAGTGGAAGTTATATCAAAACTTGTTTTAAGCTTAAACTGGTAGATGGAGACTGAGAATTGTATCTTAAACAATGCCATCAAACCCAACTTTCTTTTGCCATTCCTATACAATGTGTTGATTACACAATTCATAATTCTTTCAAGTTCTTTCTGATAAGTTAATCTATCTTCTAAAGACCACTTTTGTATAAGTGTAAAATTTGTGGTAACCTCAGGAAAATAATACCACACAAATCTTTTTAGTTTTCCACTCCACCGGAAACCCGTTACCTGCATAACATGTTTTAGTCATTTGATGCTTCTTAGAAACAAAGTGCATGCATGACTAGTCTTGCCTCATCCCACGTTCATGACATGCAAATGTCTATATATGTGTGTGTGCATGCTTGAGCTCTGGATTGGTCAGAGGCCAAGTTTGTTAGAAATTCTCAGCGTCTGGATAGTTAGAGATGTCTGAATCGGTTCGGAAAGGTAACTGGTGAAAATAATCAGAGCTCACAGTGCACCCCACCAACCCAAAACCTTTTCCAAGCGCCCACGTCATGTTGGTTTCTTATTGACATATTTTCTCAAAACTTAAGTGGAAGGGTAGTTTATAATATTAATGTTAGGTTTCTGCTATGCATTGTCATCTTGGCTTTTATTTATTTTATCTTTGGAGCTGACTTGTGTCCTACTTTACATGGTTTGCCCTCCTAATAAAGTACTTATTCAAGCCCAAGTTATTGACCAGAAAAAAATAACTTGTGGTGTTCTTTCTGATCTGACAAGGCCAATTTGGAAGACAAATTTATTAAGCATCTGTTACACATGAAAGTAGTCATGATAAGATAAATCCGAAATTGTATTCAGTTTTTTAAGTTTTGAAGCTTGTAACCTCAATTTATGACTGGAACCTTCCATTGGGCTACCTAAAAGCTAGAGGGATAAGAAAGCTGTATTTAGATTCGTTATCACAATGTTTAGATGCAAAGAGAACAGGACAAAACCGATATTTAATATTGTTTGATGTTCATTTTGTGACTAGATATATTGACTGCTATTCTTTGCAACTTCGCTGAAGGATAATTCTCTCCACAGGGCTTTAGCCTCGTGCTTTTACAAAAGAAGGATACAGAATATCTGGTTGCATTTGGAGGTCTCAAGAAGGAACCATCAGACCAGGTCAAATATGAATGAAGGCCATGTTTGTCAACTAGCTGATAAGCAGGCTAACTAGTCATGTTTGGTAAAAACTACCTGATAATGTAAAATGGCCAGAAAAGATATGATGAAAAATTAATTGGAACAAGGGGAATAATTGGAAAAAATCCCCTGGAGCTTGTTGAAACGCTACTTGAAGTAACACAAAAAGCTAGCTTATCAGGTAGCTTATGGCTAGGAATATATACTTCAAGTAGCTTCTCAACAAATATATAAAAATGACCAGAAGGGGGGTTTTCAATAAGCTCAAAGAAATAAGCTAGCTTATGGTTGGCAAACATGGCCTAAAAGATTTTCAAGAGTGCCCTTGTTGTGCAGCTGGATGAACCATTTGATGTTAAGTTCCAATTTCATTAAATATCTTGCAGGTTGAGGTATTGATGATGGAAAGAAATGAATCATCCATGAGTCGACGATTAGCACTATCAGAGAAACGCTCTTCATCTACAGGGCCTGCAATGCTTGGTGCGGCAGTGGGTAGTCTTGGGAGACAAAATCTAGCTTCTGCAATTGAACATCATGGTTCTGGTAGGAAGTCTTTGTCGGAATCCTTGTTAGTGGATTCGAACGCTGGTAATGTCTCACTCCGGAAAGAACATGTTGATGAGGACATGGCTTTGAAACTGGCAAGAAGTTTTGAAGATGAAAGATCCTCACTGGTAACCGACAGTTGTTTATTCCCATTAGCTTCTATCATTAAATTCATTAGCTATGGAGGCAAAAGATTTTTCCAGTTAACTTCTTTTACACTGATTGGACTTAAAACAAGATTTTCATTTAAAGGTTGAATTCTTTGTGGCAAAACCAAGTGTTCCCATTGTTGTCTTTCAAACATCATAAAATGATTTTCTTATTTGTAATACTTCATTTTGGTCAAAATGTTTTACTTGTTTTTGTTATAATCTTGGAAGTTAAGAAATAAGTGGTTTCACAGCTGATTGAAGCTGTATTATTTCCTTCACTTTTTTGGGTGAATATATATTTGTGATTTGGAAGACGTTGCATCATATCACCCTTCCCTTTTCTTTTGACAATGCTTTTCACGTTGTTCAAATGACACTTCATCCCAAAAACCTCCATTGCATTTCTGAGAAGGCAAGGTGCATCAAAATGCAAATAAATTTTCCTGGGTTCGTATTTAGTGTAACAAATAATTTTTCTCTCTCTCAATTAATGTAACAAAGTTTCAAATTGTCCAATTTTTGACGATAACCTTTGATCTTGTAACATTCAATGACGTGTATGTCGAACTTTATCATTCACTTTGCCGTAACCCTTTCTCAAACCTTCCGTAAATGGGTGTCCTCGTCATCAAATGTTACAAGATCAGTACGTTATCGGTCAAAAGGGTACAAAGTAGGAAATTTTGAAACCTTTGTTACATCAATTGAGAAAAAGAAATTTTTCGTTACATTAAGTAGGGAACAAACCCAACTTTGTTGCATTTTTTGATTTATTTTACCCTTGGTGAAATTACTCAAACCTGCTAGTATGTCTGATCAGTAGCTTTGTTTCGTCTCATCTTCCAACCACCTACATATTTTTTGCTTTTACTTCTTTTAAGCCGACTGCAACATACAACTCGGAAAACACATTTGATATGAGAAAGTTTGTGATTTCAGCCAATGGAGCAGATAAGAAAACAATCAGATACCAGCACTCAGACTAGCATTGGTGGAGGTAGAACAAATGCCGAAGAGACTTTGTCCATGGTTGAAACTGAAAACACAGACAAGGAGGAGAAAGAAAGAAATGTTAACTTGCATCCCAATAATGACGATACCATCCCATTTCAAGAAACTGATGGAAAATCAGGGTTTTTTCCGGCTTCTTCAAGTATATATCAATTGTATGAAATAAAAATGTCTGCTTTGGTAAGAAAGAATGGGATTCTAGAAGGTCAGTTAGCAGCTGCATTGGCTAGTCGTGAAGCTGCAGAGAAGAATCTGTCTTCTGTTCTGAAAAGCAGGCAAGAAGTCGAGAAGAGGTTGGCCGACACCTTGAAGGACATGGAACTGATGAAGGAGAAACTAGTGTTGGTAGAAATGGCACAAGAAGAGGCAAACAGTTTGTCAAATATAGTGCACACTGACCATGTGCGGCTTGAGCATGATGTGGCTTTTCTGAAGGCCGTTTTGGATGATACACAGAAGGTAATGTACATAATACTTCCTCCGTCTCAAAACAATTGTCCACGATAAACAAGGCACACGGTTTAGAAATATGTTATTAAATGACGATTTTACCTTAATAATAGAGAGTAATGAATTTCTCCATCTCATAATTAAGGATAGAATTGGAAAGTAGTCACTAACACTTGCTTAAAAGTGGACACTTACTTTGAAACAAGCTAAAATAGAAGTGTGGACACTTATTTTGAAACAAGCTAAAATAGAAGTGTGGACACTTATTTTTGGGACAGAGGGAGTACATGTTTTATGGGTTTATGATTTTCATATTGACCTTTGTGTTAGCAATTAGAGTTTATAATTTTATAATGTAGGAATTGCATTCAACCAGAGGAGTCCTCTCAGGAGAAAGAGCAAGAGCATTTCAGCTACAGGTATGTTTCAGCCTCAGAATGGACGATTTACTCCCCTCTACCCTTGTTAGAAAAAAAGAAATAGAAAAGGTAGAGATCGATATGAGGCAAGAGTCTCAGAGGTTATAGATGGAAATGGGTTAAGGAGAGCTTCCTAAATGGCCATCTTTCTTTCCCTATCCCTTAAAATCCCGGATGGGCGCTAGCACTTGACTAATAGAGAACCAAGCAACAATTTCCCTTTTTCACATTTCATTCATGATTCATCTTTGACTTTGCATTTCCATCTATTCAACACCCCACAAATCACTTGTAGGTTGAGCCTTTGTGAACTGGGGATGATGGAATTGAATGGAGTACACTTGCTTGGTGGCCTAGGTGGGGGTTATTTTGACCATTTCATGCAAAAAAGTAGAACTCTAAGGTTGATTTATATGAACTTATCGGCTATGTTTGGCAAACTAGCTTATAAGCTAACTGTATCAGCCTAGCCATGTTAAAGCTAGCTGACAATCTAGATAATAACGTAAAACGACCTAAAAGGGTCTTTGGCCTATTGGTATGGTATATCCCAACCTTCCAGAAGGTCAAGGATTCAAACCAAATGCGAGGAGGGTGCTTGAGTTCATTTGCCGTATATAAATACCATATACTCCAAAATAAAAATCAAAATAAAAAAGCTAGCTCAAAAATTAGCTAGCTTATGGTCGCCAAACATTAGCCTAAAACTCATGAAAAGACGGTAGTTTTGGTGCTTTCTGGCTGATTCTGCATGTTCACCGTATATTCTGTGTCCATAAACTGATGAAGATTTTAGAATCGAACTATACAATATGCCGCATGTTTGAGGCTGCGGATCACACACGAAACATGGCAAATCTTTCATTACTTTGCATGAAATTAGTAATATGTATGCAGGTCGAAGTTTTCCATCTGAAACAAAGACTGCAATCAATGGAGAATCGAACACCAACACCGAGAAAACCATTCCATGGATGATGATGACTACAAGGGTGGTGGTACATTATGTATTGGTAGCAATTTATTTCTCTAAACACAACATGACCATGTGACCATGGCTTTGTAAGATTATAACCCCATTATGTAAATTTCCACATCCTCTTTTTGCTGTAGTTTTTATATTTCATGTTTGTTGTTTATATCTTGCGATATACACACGAAATGTCTGTGTTTATCTTACGTATTTTTTACTTCCAAGTCTAGAAATATCGGCTTACCCAGTACATTTTGTTTGGTCTTTTTCGTTTTTGCGGAGTGGCGGTTTTTGCTTGGTGACAAGATCTAAATGTGTTTGATGGTGGTTTGTTTCCAAATTTAAATGAATGTGTTTGACACCATTAAGCTCTTGTATTTGGTATTTCTACATTTAGATATGGGAGAAAAAAAAACTGGTTATAACCGGTCTTGATCAGGAAGTCTATTCAGTCATTGTCTCAAAATCTGTAATCAGTCATTGTTATGACTAAAAATATTCAGTCATAACTCGTTAGTCGTTTATTTTTAAAAAGATGGTATCTGATAGCGGCTATAAACACCTCTACTCTCAGATGATTTTTAAGACATAGTAGTAAATTATTAAAAATGTATTTAATATGTTTCAATGCCAACAAATAACCACAAATGTGGTGTCTAATTGGTTTGAGTTTGCCTCTAAAGGTCAAAAGTGTCGGGTCTTAAGTTCAAATTCAAGGAGGAACAAAAATACCCTTGTGGCCACGAAGGTTCAAATACGGTGACTGGGTTAAGTGCAAAGTAGGTGGTCGTCTTGAGATTAGTTGGCTCGTATAGCGCATTAGATATCCAGGTTAATCCAAAAAAAAAACCAACAAATGAAATATCCGCAAGCTAAAAGGGGCATTTAGTTTGATGAAATGATTTTAAGGAAATTTGATTTTGTAAAAGAATTTGGAATCGATTAGGATTTCGAATGAAAATTGAATTCTATTCTTTATAGTTGATTTATAAAAGCAAATAATAAATAATTATCTTTTTTATTAGTTGATTATTACAAAACAAATGCTCTTGACGTATTTTAAAACATTATTACATACAAATTTTAGCTGCTCCATGGTCTTTCAAAATTCTATTTGGGATTTCAATGAAATCTCGAGATTTCAAATACTAGAAATCTTTCAAACCAAACATGAGATTAGAATGAAATTCAATTCTAAATCCAATCAAATCCTGCAAACTGAACAAGACCTCAAGGTTTCAAAAAATGCCATAAAACTTGCAAGTGGGAGCTTTGCAAACCCTAAAAACAAACACTTCATCTTAAGACATTTGAGATTGAAACTTGCATAAAGAAAACGATGCAATTTTCAACTTCTAATCTACCAAGAGACAGAACAATGATGAAACCCGAACCCACAATTGATCCAATCCAAGAGGAATAAAAATCCCCTTGTGGTCACAGAGGTTCAAATACGGTGACTCCGGGCTATCTGCAAAGCAAATGGTCGTCCTGAGATTAGTCGGCTCACATAGCGGGTTGGATATCCAGGTTAATAAAAAAAAAAGTGCTATTATATTATTATGTTTATTTAGCGGTATATCATTTTATGGGTATCACTACAAAGATGATAGTATTTCTCCTGATCCCTAAACCAAACCAAACCAAACCAAACCAAACCAAACCAATAAATCTTTCTTGGAGGTGGGGTCTTAGGGTGTAAGATTCATCTGCTTAAAGAGTAGAGCAGCTAGACGCAACCCTGGTCCACAATTAGTAAAAGAAGACATTGAAGGGTTAAACCACAAAAAAAGACAAGTAAAAAGCAAAATTGTACAAGACATGGTAATGCAGAATCTCCTAATATTCCAATAGGGTTTTATAAGCAGAAACAATATGCAAATCACAATGAAATAACAATCATTAACCACAACTAAATCAACCTATTAACCCTAGAGCAAGAGGGTTAAAGATGTCATTTCACCGGAAAGCAAAGAATGCACATTGCCTTAACACCTAAACAATAACGCCGTCGAACTTTGTAGTTAACTCCGAATCGGTGAAACATGAAAAAACAATAGACTTTGGGTTCTTCAAGATCAAGAGCATTAGCTGAGATTAGATCCAATCGTCATCAATCTGCATTACAGATTATTAAGGTTTAGGCCATATTTGGCAACCCTCAACTAGCTCGTTTTTTGAGCTTATTGAAAAATCCCCATTTGATAAGCCATAAACTAGCCTTTCAATAAGCTTCAGGAGTTATTTTTCCAATTAATTTTTCAACATGTCCTTTTAGGTCATTTTTTGTCATCTAACTTATCAGCTATTTTTCAGCCAACAACTAGTTTAACAAGAAGTTTACCAAACATAGCCTTTTTGTTTTGCACAATGTAAATAACGCTGTGTGGGTATAGAAATCATATACAAATAAATTTACCATTTTAAGCTCCCTTGAATGTCGGAACCCGAGACAAGGTCTTCGAGTTCATCAATAATAGCTTCATAGCAAAAGATGTATTGATCCTAAAGCAACAAATGTCAATTAATACGAGATTAGCTCAAAACAGACGCACCTCGTGATAATTGCAATATCTGAACTAATACATAATTTAACCAAGTTGTTTGACTAGTCTTAGATATCTATAAGATTCTCTTCAGTAAAGAAAAGTCATTCTACATGGAAATTTTCAAAAAAATGAAAAAAGAAAACTTCACAATTTCCATGAGCAAGTGTTGCAATTACAGTAGATTCAGGAACAACACCAAAAACCAAAACAAACCATACCCAATGAATCCAGTACATCTCACACAGAGATAGGGTCATGGGGTAGATATGTGTGTCCACAGAGACTGGGGAGTTTGCAAAAAAAAAAAAAAAAAAGAGAGGAACAAGTGCCGTATGTAGCAGCAAAGCGTGCAAACAAGAAACAGATACAATGGAGATGAAACAGTGACACCATGATATATGAAACAAAATCTAATTTGTTAAATCCCAATGAAGATTAGTTGTAAAATCTCTACTCCACATAGGGATAGGAATTTCACTACATTTATAAGTTAAGATTTCCATAAACAACAACAACAATACATATATGTAAATATGAATATGATGTGGGAAAATAATATTTTAAAGTCTCATCTTATACCAAACAAACTTTTTGTAGGTTCAAGGTCCAACCTGGTAGGTTCTATGTGGTGTGCGCTGATAAAACTTACATTGGCCAGATTTAAGTGGGATCGTATTAGACTATCCACACTTGAATTATTTGTCTATTTATTAGATTGGAATGCAGCAACTTTTTGCATCGTTCTTTTATTTGTTTGGGAGGGGGACTACTAAGCTATGAAAGTTTGCAATTTAACAGGCTAAATCCACCCGAGGCAAAATACCCCCACCCCCTCCAAACAGGGTTATTTAGGAGAATAACCTTCTGACAGAGTTAAGAATGTCTCTTCCTAACCAAAGGATGCCTCATATCCTGTTAGAAGCTCGTGCATTTAAAAAGAATATGTCACTTATTCTCCTTAATAACCCCACCCAAACAGGTTCGCTGACATACCATCCCCTCCAAAGCTGAGAGGCACAACTACTTATGACTCAAATCGTTCTATGCAAGTAGGCAAGCAGATAGAATGGCAGCAAAGTATGTGAATAAAATGGGACATACCAATGTTTGGACCATCCCCATTCGCTGTGACCTGAAAGTGCTTATGGTTTTAACAAGATCCAAAGCAGACATGTCACCAACTAAAATTCTTTGGATGGTGTTATGAATTGCACAATATGTTCCGGTTCTACCAATGCCTGCACTGTATAAGATGTACAAAATTCTCAGATAATCTCTCAAAACATCTTAATGCACATGTCATTGTAAAACGAGCTCAACCTGCAATGCACCGCAATAGGTCCTTTTGATGATGGCAGATGGCATAATCTTCTAAAAATGTCTCGAACAGCCAAGGTGTCATATGGGACTCCATGATCAGGCCATTCAGGATATTGAATATGCAAAACAGGCAGAGGAGGATCCACTGACTGAATAAAGGTAGAGTGTAGAGTAATTAGTGCCAAATGATAAAGGTGAGAAAATGTTGTCCCATGACAGATATTTGCAATTGCACCATACATCACAGCATCGAAGAAAAATAATCATTATTCAAAAAGCATAAAATCCTAGGATGATAGGCATTTATATATGACAACAATGGATATGGGTGGTAGAATAAATCATTGTGTAGTAAACAAATATACAGATGGAGTGTATTTACAAAGTTCAATTTAGTCAACCCGCTAAGGTTGTATTTGTATTAAAAAACAAGCATTACACACAAAACATAAACAGGAATGTCAAAAATTATGATGCAAAAAAATTGTGTGAAAAGAAGGGATGCAATTATAAACAGGATTATATTACAGTGGTGGATCATGGAACATTATGTTTTGAGATGATATCTAACGGGAAGCCAGATTCAGGCACCCTATAAATTTCCCAAATTTTTTGAACAAAAAACAACGCAAGGTCCATATTCTTCCAAACATCCGGACATCACAATGCTGTTTATTGAGCGGTCTCCTACCAGAAACTCCCAGAAAGTAAACATAGACACTATGCTACTTGCCAAATCATATTCGCCCTGTAATAAATTTACTAAGCTATATGACTAATATGTACAGATTGTTATGCTACAAGAATCATCTAACAGATAGAGTACCCTTCTTACAGCATGTATGTGAGTCCGTCTAATTTTCTGGGAACATCTATAAAAACATATATGTTAAGAATGAAGCTGCAAATGAGCTGTTGTAGCAGCTCGTACGGGATTAACAACGAAGTTTAAAATGATTATTTAATCAATATGCTGAATGATGACAGGCAATCTGCTCGATCACAGGAACCTAGAAATTTGCAAATTTCTATTTGGTAATTGCTTATATAAACTTAAATTTTATTCTAGAGGGTTGATCTGACAACTTAACTCTTGATTGACATATTATCGACACATGATGTGAAATACGAAGTAGAAGGATACCCATGTAACCTTCAAAATACTTACTCACAAGACACAGAATCTGTCAATATTCTCAGCATGAATGCATGATCACTTCTTTTCTGAAGTTGCTAACAACCATACCTAGCAAAACTTGCATTTGGATTACAAACTTCAAATTGTCAAGCACATGACGTGCCAGTGTCCTACTACCACAACCTTTCAGCCATCAAGTCCACATCGATTTTGAGATTCAGGGATCATACACAAAGCAGTCTGAACTCTGCATCCCATGTTTGCCTTTTCTGACAAACCGAGTAAGGATCATTAAGCTCAGCCCAGCTTAAACAATAATCAGATCATGAAAATCTCAGATTAAGCCCATATCCTACTACTAGTTATCGATTTTCTGTCCACCAAAAAGTACCCTTCCAAGTTCTGGTGCTTATTCATTGCCAGAAACCTATTGTTAGACGCTGCAACATCATCATAGACATCTGTTGGAACTTGGGATGGAAATTATTTGATACAGATAGAGAAGGGCACATATAATAAGTGGGAAAAAGTCTAACGCCAAGAGCTCAAGAAAAGGGGAAAACTTTTGATTGTGGCTGGTGATCAGGCTCCCGTTAAGGACAAAAGCTACAGAAGTCCATAAACCAAACCAAAGATTAGTTCTGAAAATCCAGAAATGCTCTGTGCAGATAAAACATATGCTGCGAACCACCATTCATGTATCAAGGGTTTTAGCTTCAGGTGTTCTTGATAGTTTCATAAACCATACAAAGACCATTTTTATTTTATTACAGCAAACACTAGTTATTATATGGTCGGCTCACCTCTTCGTAATTCACCTCCAGATGGCGCAGCACTAGTGAACTGTCCGTCGTAGCTATTTTTCTCGTGACTGTACATATATTGCCAAACAATCTTGGACCATCCTCTGCTTGAAAATAGTCTCCACACTTCTGGATCTGAATACAAAATTAGACCGGAATTAGGCAAGGAAGAGAGATCGGAAAAAACCCAACAGAAGTAAGATATACAAAAACCCCCCATTGAACATATGTGTGACAAGGATCACAAAAATTATAAGACAATATAGAATAATGCAGATATACATAGATAAGTACTTATAATTACTACGTCTTTGAGATGAAATAAAAGTAAAAATAAGGAAAGCAGTGATGATAATTAAGGTCCAAGGTTATAACCATAATCAATTTTACTATAATAGTGATCAAGATGGTGTCTTACAAAGTGAATTTGCTAATGATATAAGTGGAAACTTTCCCATCTTGAGACATGGACAACTCAACATTCCATAACGACATGAATGCCAACCTCCATGTTTCACATGGAATAGACACAAAAAGTATTTTAAACTTCTTGCTACACCAAAATGGAAGCTTCGAAGTAAAGATTCATAAAGAAGGGATGAAAAGAAATAGAAAAAAGAAGTCTTAATTTGATCTTCATTAGATCCAAAAATAACATACTTTTTGGAAGGGGGTATCCAAAATCGCCCGTTCTCTTACCCCTGGCAAATTGATAATTGTGCCCCTTACAAGTTCAATACAGAAAACTTATCACCTGTGAACTGGAATCCTGTTCCATGGAGAACTTTACACTCCTTTAATTTCCAAGAGACCACTAATTGCAACTGTAACATCAATTAGTGACCCATACAGAGTATAGCATGTGAAGATAACAACATCATTGCTCCCATTTGGTTCCATCTTTAAGCTTCACAAAGAGCCCATTAGATAGGTTTATTCGTTTTATGAACAAGAAAAAAAACCATCAAGCTATTAGCCCAATCAACCATGCAATCAGTCTTCTAGAAAGCATTATGCATCACCTGGCGTAAATTGGTTAGGCGGGGAATAAGAAGACTTTTAAGCGGATGCAATCCAATTTGAATGTAAAAAATATGGTTCATATAAAATAACCTTAAATGCTAAACTTATTTGTATTTTATCAGTGTTCAAGAAAGTTATAAGCAAAGCTAGGTGGTCAAGTGGCCTTCCAATGCTTAATGGCCTAAATGGAGATTAGTAAGATGCTTAAGTGAAAGCAAAAGTGCATTTGAATATGTAAAATACAATTTTTTCTAGATTGTAGAACACGAGTAGAATCTTGGTACCACATTTGATATTATTTTTCTGACTTTCTGGTTTCATTGTTTCTTTGTTATAGTTACTCGGAAAAGATAGGTAAGATTTCCTCTAAGTTGAGAAGTTGATTAATCTCTGCTTACACTTTTGAGAAGCTTAATTTAACAAATGGTTTCTAACAAAGCAATGTAGGAAACTCCAAAGCTAGGGAACCATGGGCCAATGCTTGATGCCTAGGCGGCCGCTTAAGTACTCCTAGAGGGGATATTTAGAACACTACATGCAATTGATTCTTTTTGTTCCGATCCATTAATTAATATTCTTTTCAACTAATTCTCTGTCAATATAGAAATAGAAATGGCTATAACATCAAAATGCAATTGTGGTTCCTTTTACAGTACAACCAGAAAGTCACTGCAACTGTACCTCTATGTCTCTATCAGACTATAATAGAAAGTAGTTGGGACTTTAATAGATATCAATGACATATCATCCCATATCCTATTGATGAATAGATTAGTTACTACGTCCTGAAACTCACTGCAGCTGTACCTCTATCAGACTCCAGTAGAAAGTAGTTAGGACTTTAATCGACATCAATGACATATCATTCAATATTATATACTATTAACATGATTACTTACTAAAATATATTGATATCTGGAAAGTAAATTTGGAAATCAAAGATCATCATCAATTAGTAGAAATGCTATATAATTACAAAAGTTACTAGAACGATCATAGTATTGAATACCCTGTGGTGGTCAACTAGCCGAGTGAGCATCACAATTGCTGGACAATGACTCTGGAGTACCATTTCCCAGAAATCTTCAAAGGTTTCAGGAAGGGGGCCTTGAGTGGCTATGAACCGAGAAACACTTTCAGATGGATTAACCTACAATCATAGATGGAAGTGTTCATAAGTTCAAAAATGGTTCCAAATTTTAATTCATTAGTAATTACAATGCTTAGTGGAAACACAGCACCAACCCAGAAAGTGCCATGGCACATGGTGTGCAGTGAGGTGCATGCATTTACATAAAACCCATATAATGAAACACAAATCACATTACATCCATTATAGAATAACAACAAATTATGGGCAACAATCATTTACTATTTTGAAGCAAAGATAATGCTTGTATATATAAATTTTGAAAGAAAAGAACGTTAAACACCATCTTTTATCGTGTTATAGTGTTTAGCTTACCATCATATATTATACATCATTAGTTTTGTCATATCATATAAAATATACATCATTACTTCACATTTATGCTAAATTTATACTTCCAATTAAAAGGTCAAACATTAAATGAACATGCTAATTAATAAATATATTTACTTTTAAGTTATCGAAAACAACTGCTCTACTCTTTGGGAGTAGAGAACTAGAGAGTAGGTCTGTGTACATATTACCCCCAACCCCACCTCCGGGTGGGATAAACCGGGTTTACTTACACGCTATAGATATTAGCAAAGATATTTATGTAAGTGTACAAAGATTCAGAGGATTTTGTTAAAAAAATTATCCTTAAAAAGAGGGGGAACAAGAAGCAAATAATGTTTTTAATACAAGGGTCAATATAGTAGTCTTAAATATTGATCAGATTGTACAGAAGAGTAGAATTTTTTTTGACCGGATTGCCTCTGTATGTTGTACATACAGATTTCTCCCACTACCTCCGCACCCCTCCGCTTCTCGTCTCCCTCTTAATATTATTGTTTGTCTTCCTCTTCCAAACTTCCATTTTTTTCTCTTAATCTATGTTCTTATCCATCAATTGGCCAAACAGAGTAACACTACATGAGTGCTGTGCATAAGCCTGCAATTGTTCACATGGCACTTGCTTATTTCCATTTACTGCAGAGTTGGAAATGACAAACATAAACTTGAATTTCAACACACCATGCTCCATGGTGCAACTTGACTAGTATACACAGTCGGATAGTGCAAAACAACAAAATAATATTGGTGACTATTTTCAGAATTGATCACAAAAAAAGAACATTAAATATCTAAACCAACATTTTTATTTTTCAATTAAGGTGTGAAGATGATGCTCTGAATCAAAGAATCATGAATGATATTGATGTCTAATGTCTCAAATTTGGTTACTTTCAAATTAATTAATACAAAATTTCTAGCATCCAAAGATAAATAAAACTGGAGACAGGAGAAAACTATTGACCTCTGCTTTGATGAAACTAGCATTGATGTATCCCATTGCTGATGATCTGTGATCTTTGCATGGATCAAGAATAACCCTGTTTGCATCAACTGAGACACAGGAGTTCAATATTGTTCATTGTTATTTCTCTACATACTGATCTTAACTGCAGTGAGAAGACAAGAGATTTTGACTACCATACATGGTACAACATCTGAGTAGCGGTTTTTTCTACAATTAACATGTAGTTTAGCCACCGAGCAACTACTATTAACTTCTGATGCTCTCATCCTTTGGTCCTATAAGAAGGGGCAGGAGCCATGATTAAAGGCATGTGATTAATGAAAGAAAATAACCTAATGATATTGTCTTTAGAAATATAGAGTATTAAAAATGCCTGAAACATTCAAGAAAGTTAATTGTAGAATTATTTCTATCACTACAACTATCCATCTACTGTCTAGCCATAAAAGATAATAAGAGGCCACTCTGTTTCTTGAATGAGTATGATACGAATCGAAACATAACATCATTGTTTACTTGTTTTCTACATATCAGCTTAAGCTAATGATTTCTTCTTAAATTTACATATCAGACCCTTGATTTGACATCCTTCTGCCTGCATGCAGTAACTCAGCATGGTCTACTTAGTGGGAGCAAGTATGACCTCTAGGCAGTTGTTTAGGTGTGAGGAGGAGCCACACATGAGAGAACATTGTCGCTAACCACACATGAGAAGGTAACCTAATACCTCCAGTAAATGGAAGATACATGATTTTCATTAGCTTTGATGTCCAAAGAGTATACAGGTTATACATAGCAGCTTTCCATCTTGAAAGATTAGAACCCCCTGCAACTTATTGATAAAACCTGTAACTTTACCTACCAATACTAAGGATCATATTCATTAACGAAAAAACTAGACTTTCTCCTTTCAACAAAGGATTTTGTTAAATGTCAAACTTATTTCTCCAAATGCATAATTCACATAGATTTTATTGCAAATTTAGCATTGACATCACACAATTTTGAGTACTTGTCAAAGTTGATAATATCTTAATAAAGATGATGTTGCTAAAGTTTTTGGTTCCAAGTCCATATCAATTCTGAAGTTCTAAAATTTTGTCTATCTTATGCTTAAAGTCAAAGAATACACCCACTTAGATCTTCTTCTTCTTATTATTATTTTATCTTTTATCTTTTGGTTTTTATTTTGCATCGAGAACTGAATATCACTTCCACACATTATTTACAGTCCGTTAGAACTACAGAAACATGTTAAGCTGTACAATCAATAAAAACAAAACTATTTATACGAAACTTAAAAAAGTGAAATCTAACGCACGTAAATTAAATTCAAATAGGGCTCATAAACACATTAAACCTGCAAAATGGCGAACTCTTTCTCAATAATTGAATACTGATCAGTCTGTTTGGCCTTGAAAAACTTGAGAGCTTGACCGCAGTAACGGAGTTGATCGGGTTTGAGAGAGGGCTTGGGTGGAAAACCAGTCGACATATCGAAAGAATTTGGAGCAGCAGAAGAGGAAGATGTTAGGGTTTTACCACCGGCGGAGGCAGCCATAGCCGATTTACGGCTCCGACTGCGAGAGGAGGATACGTTGCCCGTGGTGGATGGCGGTGGCTGATGGTTGTGATCGTAAAAATGACACGTACCCTGTGCTACTATTGCCCCACCAGTGATTATATTGGATTTGGTCTTGGTTGCTTTAAAGGGGTTGCTCAGACCTCCACCTTTGTTTTTTCTTTAAAAATAAAGTAAATTTCTTTAAACTTTTTTTATATTTATATTTAGGGGTTTCATATTTGGAGTAAACTACGTTTTTGGTCCCTATGATTTCTTTAAAATTGCTATTTTCATCCTTATACTTTTGAATATTCTTATGATTTACAGTTTATTGTTATTTTTCTTCCTCATAATTTATAATTCATTATTGTTTTATGGGCCGTTTACTAAACGCTTGCTTGATTAGTACTTATCGAATAAATTTCTTCATCAGATGAATATAACAATGGTCAAGAATCTTACCGAGTAAGAACGATGAGAATAATAGAGAGTCTTATCCGGTAAGTGAAGATGACAATTTTTACCCAGTAAATTATTGCATTCGATACGTGTTGATATACTAAAATCTCATGCATCAAAATAAATTATAGTGTTGACTCGTATCAGTAAGCACTTATTGGATAAGCATTTGGGTATTAGTCTTTCATAGTTAAAGGTAAGATCCTAAGAGTTAGCTGATAGACGAAAATAACAACAAATTGCAAACTATAGGGACGAAAACTTTAAATTTGAAACTATAAGAATGAAAGTTGTAATTTTTAACAAAACAGAGAGATGAAAAACGCAATTTACTCTTATAGTTATTATATTTGTTTATTTATAATTAAAAAAAATCAAATTTAAAAAACACATGAGAAACTGTTATAAGAACATACTAAAATCGAAATAAATATGAATCGCCTATAAATATTTCAATATGTAAATATTTTTAAAGGTATATATGTGAACACTTTTAATCCTCATTGTTGATGAGAAGTGGTTGATTATAAACAGGTTGACGGTGAAACATTCTTCATTCATATCATGGACCTAAAGCTTGGTCTAACTACCAACAATGCAATGCATGTGTGACTCTTCGCACATATGCTACAGATTGCCCAAATCCTAAGGCAATGAAAACGGAAGCTGAGGAACTAGCTAAGGTGAAAAATGAGAAAGTTGTTGAGTCTCCTCTTCTAACCCCTCTAGACCTATCAAATAATGGGTACCAGAACAACATTAATCTTCTTTGTGATTGCATAACTATAAGAGTATATGGTATTTGGAAAGTAGATGCTTCAAACACAGACTAAAAACAAGTCCTTACTATCTGAGTACAAAGAAGAAAAAGGACCCTCAGTGGCTAATGGTTCAAACATGTTGCCTTTGTTGATGATCTGAAACACAATCTTCTAAGCATTAGTCAACTATATGACAAAGGATTATGTGTGAACTTCAGTGGAGATAAGTTTACAACTGGGACAATCCCGTAAAAAAACAGAAATTGGGACAATGAATCTATGAGTTCTATTTCTTTAGTTGTTCTAACTTTGTGTTTCATATTGATGGCTTTGTCATCATCATATAAGGGGATATTGTTGATCCTCTGCAATTCTTTGATGATGACTCACTAGACACCTATCAATCTCTATTGTAATTTCGTTTCTTGAATATGTTCAACGTCTCTATACATTCAACATTCAGTGAGTATTTAATCAATGGCAAACATAATTTATATCTTACTTTATATTCATTGTGTGTTGACTAGTCTTTTACTCACTGATCAAAGGAACTTTAAGTGACTCCAAAGCAAAAGTCACACTCGATTAAAGGAACTTCAAGTTATATCGATGGTATAGCTAAAGATAAAGATAGGAAGAGCTGAAGAGGTTTCAGAAGATCTGCCTATCTGATAAAGTGAGCAACAGATCAAGCAAGAAGACTCAATGTTCAATGAAGAAATCTGCAGTGTCCTCCTCCTAGATGAACCATAATCTTACGAATCAAGTATTTGTCTCAGCCTCTCTTACAAAAGTCAAAACCATGAAGCTATGTTACAACCTATGTTTTATTGTCTCATTTCATGCATGACCACTATCTAGGTACACTGTTCACATGCAACCAAGGCTATCCAACTCAAGGACATGCATACCCTGCAATCCTCTCCCTCAGTGACACATGGCGTTTACCTTCATCATGCATTAAGTGCTCCAAGTGTAAAAACCCGTGAAGACCTCTTTTTACTGTGTGTCATCAAGTGTAATATTTATGTGTATTATGTGCAAGAGAAAATTGTATAAACTTAGTGAACTTTGTTAGAGATTCTTAATGTTATCTCGCTTAACAAAGTAAGGTTGTTTTAGATTAGGAATGATCTTTAATTGATTTTAATGCAATTGGTAATCAAATTCTATGTTTGTAACTAGGCTTGGTTAACCAGTTACGTACTAGTCTTAGAGCTTCTTATGCTAGTTTACGCTTATGGATAAACAGTGTGTTGATGCGTATCAATACTTATCACTATTCTAGAAGGAATTGAGAAAAATATTTTTTGTGTACAAGTCTATGATGCACATTTTGATCAAAGGTTATTGCTTATCATTAGAGTTGTTTATTATTGCTTAAATCTTTATTTTATTTGCATGTTTAGTTTAAATTGCACCTCTCACACCCCCTTTTATTTATTGTTTTAAATACCTGCATATGACATCGTTTTGGACTTACGGTTGACACCGAGTCCCTGTGGATATGATCCTACTTATTGCTACCACAATATGTTATGAAATAGATATAATAGGAATTTATTATTTGATGGACTTGACACCCAACAAAATTTTGACGCCGTTGTTGGGGACTCGTCAAGGTTTAAGTGTTTTATGCCAAAATTGTTACATGCAAGATCACTAGTGTCTATAGACCTAGAAATTGAAAGGACTGCAAAGATAATAAGAAAGTTTTCTAAGCTTCAAAAGAAGCACAAGGATACATCTACATCACCAGGTCTCAATTTTTGGAAAGACATCGACTTGTCTATTGTTCAGATGGTGAAGGAGAAAAGCCTTGCATCGAAGACGAGAATTCGATCCACAAAGCCAAATAGGAAGAAGAAAAGATGGCGGCTCTCGAGCATATTCTGATACAATAGGAAGCCCCAATGTCACTCAACAACCTTTATGCATCACATATCCTACAAAAGGGGTAAGTACTGATTTAAAAACGAACTAATTCATTTGTTGCCTTAATTTCATGGTCTAGATAGCAAGGACCCATAAAATCACCTTACGGAGCTCCATATTGTTTGTATTAAACCATATGATACCACTAAGGAGAGCATCAAGATGAAGGCGTTCCCTTTCTTCCTAGTTGATGAGGCTAAGGATTGACTTTTCTACCTTCTACCGAGATTCATTACATATTAGGCACAAATGGCAAGGGAATTATTAAACAAATTCTTTCCCACATCCAAATCTACTGGAAATTAGAGAGAGATTTGTGAGATTAAGAAAAAGGATGTCAAGACACTTTACGACTATTTGGAGCATTTCCAGAGGCTATGTGTAAGTTGTCCTCAACATGAAATATCTGATGAATTACTGATACAATATTTTTATGAAGGTTTATTGCCGATGGAGAGAAAGATGATGGAGCAACGAGTGGCGGGGTGATCATGAACACGACCCTAACGTAAGAAAAATATTTGATTGCAACCATGATGGAGAATTTAAAGCAGTTTGGAGCTCAAAATGACTTCTCAAGGAGCTAATGAGTTACATGTACAATCTCTTGAGACCAAGATTACTGAACTTACTAATATTGTGAAACAACTCACAATTGAAGGTGTGCAACAATTCAAGGATAAAGGACTTGTTCCACAGTGGGACACCCGAGCGATGCATGCCCTACACTATAAGAGCCTTTTGAGCAGGATAATGTCGTGGCGGTAGCAATTTCCAAAACTCACACAACCAAGGGTTTGACCCATTTTCCAACACTTACAACCTCAGACTAAGGCAACACCCTAACTTGAGCTACACCCCTAGGCAAGATAGAGGTAAGTTCCAACAACATTAGTTTCAAGCATCATCGTGTGCTCAGTTTTATCATCCGTCTTCTCTGGTTCCTCGAAGCTCAGGGATACCTTTAGATGAGATTGTGAAGATTATGACAACTAATTCTCTTCAATTTTAGCAGGAAATGCAAAGTTCAACATAACGCATTCAAGTTCCAACAAGAAACTTAAACTCGCATCCAGAACTTAGAGGCGACAGTTAGCAAATTAGTGGGTGAAAATATGCAGGGTACTTATTTGACAAATTTAATTTAATAAGAAAAATCTGGGAAGGTAAAATCTGGGTTTTTGATTAAACTGTTATCTGTTATCGCATCCTTATGATGCGATGACTTAAAGTTATCGCATCCTATTGATGCGATGAAAAGTGGTTATAGCATCTTTGTGATGCGAGGAGTATGTTTGTCGCATCATTGTGATGCGACAAGTTAACTTATTGCACCAATGTGATGCGAAGTTGGGTTTATCGCACCAGTGTGATACAATGAGATGAGGTCCTCGCACTAGTGTGTTGCTAGGAAATGGGGTTGTCTCACCCATGTGATGCGAGGAAATTACATTTTCATCTATATGATGCGATGAGTTTTATCAGAATGTGTTAGATGAGTTATTGGGTTATTTGATGCGATAAAATTGGTGATTTCTCATCTTTTAGATGCAACAAAAGAGGTTCGTTTGATTAAAGTTTGGTTTATTTGTCATTATTACAACTATGAGATCCTAAATATGATTTGGTGTTTATTCACTCTGTAATAGCAAGCAAATAGATTTTATATCAAAGGGCCTTTGGCCTAGCGGTATGTGAGTCTCTGGCCTTCTAGGAGGCCAGGAGTTCAAACCTCACCAAATGTGAGGAGGGTGTGTGAGTTTATTTGTTCAATTTGCCGTATATAAATATTATATATTAAAAAAAAGTATTTCTCACTAGACCTCAAGTTCTAACCCTCATTTTTGGTGTTTTGAAAATGTGCATTACATGACGGGCATAAGTAAAGGATAAGGGAAAGAGAAATTGTGAAGAGTTATATTTTTCTGCATGAGATGTTAGGATAACATGTTATCTGTTGTATTTGAATACTTGTTATGTGTACAAGTTTTGTATAGGGATTTTGGTGAAAATTTTTGATAGCTATTTTGTAATGTAACTTTTGTAAATAGTGGGACCAATTCTGTAAATTATATTTCTTGATATATGGAAATATATGTTTATATGCAAATGTGATTCTGGGGTGTTACATTTTAACCAACCACAGACTACCGCCGAATATATCCGTCACACATTTTATTTAATTAAATAATTAATTAAATAAATCAAAGCCAGATCACCGACGAATGATTTTGCCGCTGATTTAATCCGCCCAATTACTTAAGTATTGATTAAGGAGTTCTAAACAAAGTGAAAAAAAATACCATCGCATTAGCGACGAACATATCCAACGATGATTACTTATCTGCTGAGAAAAAGATCATCGGATAACCTTTTTGCCATAATGCTCTTCTCACGTAATTCACACCAACAAACCTTTTTGCAATAGTACTCTTTCGCAATTAATTCGCACCAGCCGATTACTGACGGGTTTTACCGTCGATAAAACCATCCTATTTTAAAGTGGTATTTATATGAATATAAGTAGAATCTTGTAAATCATTGCAAGTCTATTGAAAAATACGACAACAAAGAAGAAAAAGAAAACAATGTAGAAAGTTTTTTTTTTTGAAGTATATAATATTTATATACGGCAAATGCAACAAATAAACTCACACACCCTCCTCACCTATGGTGAGGTTTGAACCCCTGACTTCCTAGAAGGCCAAAGGCTACGATACCGCTAGACCAAAGACCTTTTGGTAATATATAAAGTTTAGTTTGTAGGTAAATTGCAATAAAATAACAACATATTTTTTTATATTTAAAAGTATTTACAAATTAAAACCTCTATGGTTTTTACATTTTATTATTTTGCGTAATGGAGTTTGAATAAACTTAATAACAATTTTAATAAATTTTAATAATCTATTGATCAAATCGAATAATATGAAAGTATGGTGTGTTATTTATTATAAGTTTTCATGGGTTGTTGAATGATATCACCTCATTAATTTATAGACAAAATAGAGTTGAAAATTAAATCATATATAGTCTGCCCTAAGATTCCCTCGTCATTGTATATATCAAACAAAATTGATGTTGTTACCACTTCTATTTGATATATATATATATATATATATAGGATTGGGTTCACGTGAGACCAGCCTGTTTTCGTGAGACCCGTGAGACCACATTTTTACACATAAACTTCACAGCAAAAACGCTGTGAAGGTTTAAAAAAAGTCGAACCTTTACTTCACAGCAAAAACACTGTGAAGGTTTTAAAAAATTACCTTCACAGCATTTTGCTGTGAAGTTTCAAGTGTAAAATGCTGGTCTCACGGGTCTCACGAAAACATGCTGGTCTCACATAATCCCAAGTCTATATATATATATATATATATACTATCTTATAATGCATTTGGCTAAAACTCTTAAAACTCTTAAACTGTTAAAAACAACTTCTATTATTTTAAGTACAACCTACTAAAGCATACTATCCTAAACCCGCTCTTCCTAAACCCAATCCCATTTTTATCGCCCCTAACCCAATCGTTTAATTCCCAATCCCAGATGACGATGGAAGTAGGATTGAAGAAGATGACGATGGAATGGGATTGAGAATCCCATTTTTATCTTCCCTAACCCAATCGTTTAATTCCCAATCCCATTTTTATCTATCGCAACCCTAATCTCAATCCTACTTCCATCGTCATCTTTTTCAATCCTACTTCCATCGTCATCTTCTTCAATCTTCCAGGTAATCATGGTTCTGTTTACACTAATCTAATTGTGTTCTCAAGTTTAGGGTTCTATTTACACTAATCTTAATCGAAATCTGACATGCGTTCTCGAATATTTTTGTAGGTTCTCGAATATTTGGTTTACACTGTGTTCTCGAATCTGTCTGTTTACACTGTCTTCTCGATTCGTTCTGCTTACACTGTGTTCTCGAATCCATCTTCCTTCAACCTTCAATCCATCTTCCAGGTAATTATTTGGTTTGCATAACTTTAATGTTTATTTCTGCTTACACTGTGTTCTTGAATCATTCTGTTTACATGTGGTTTTTTATTTGGTTTTGCACTTTATTTGTTGGTGTAAATTTTATCCAATTTTTGACCAAGAAAGGGAAAAATCCCAAGAAAATCACAGTAGTTTCATTGTAAGCTTAAATTAATGGGTTTAGAAGGAAAATATATAATATGAGAATGGTGATTGATAAAACTAATTGGTTCATGAAGATTTTGTTCATCCAAGAATTTAACTTTTTTAGCAACCAAGAAATTCTTGAGCAATGGTGCTATGAGAACTTATACATCAGGCATTGGAATCATATATAATTCTTGAGGTCTGAATGTGTGTATATATATATTTATGTATATATATAGCACTTCATTTGGATTATGGAAAAATAGAAAGTGTACCTGGCCATGGACTAAAGCTGCAATGGCCATGTACCAGGCAGTGTAAGTGGTGCCAAGGCCAAGAAAAGACCAAATCCTGTAGTTGTGGAATGAAGGAATGAAGACATTGGTGGCACTTTTTTTGAAATTAACATTTTCCTTCTATTTACTGCTTCTATACTCAACATACAACACACTTATAAGATAAGCAGTCCAACTGCCAAGAAGCCCATAAAAAATCTGAAGAACAACATTTGTGCCACCTCCACTTGAGAAAAGGAGTATGGTAGTGTTAACAGCATTTGTGCCACCTGCATAAAACACAACTGACTTTGCTTGGTAAACATCTACTAAAAGTTCGTTTATAAACGCTTGTCAGTGGCGAGATTGGTTTCAACAGCTCTTGGTTCAACTGACTTTGCTTGGTTTGCCATCAGGTTTTGCTTCAATGGATTAAAATTTGTTATGTTGGTTTTTGGAGGAATAAATTGAGTGATGAAATTCGGGCACTCAGAAGGTCTGATGAAACGAGGGTGATGGATTTCTCCGGTTAGGTATAGTTCCATTCTCTTATCATCTAATTTCCTTTTTGTTCTTTGATTTCCTCTTACAATTTTTGTTTATGTGTTGTTCTTCATCAGGGATTGAAGTTGTATGTAACTACATATATGTATTCCCGATCAATTGTATTTTGAAAGCAGTATAAGAGTCGTTCAATTTCACCCAATTATCATTCAAGAAACCAATCAGGTTTTTTAAAATTGACTGGGATGGTTCTCTCACAGTTTTTTAATACCCAAATGTGTGAAGATACAGTCTCATTTCAGTCTTCGGGGCAATCCCTTTTATGTATTTAAATCTGTGCCATCAAGGGAAATGCATTAAATATATGGTTTCTGTTGATGAAGGCTTCTGGCCTTTAATTTTATGAAAGGAAGTCCATTGAGACAGAGTGTTTATTTTTAAGTTATTCTGCTTGCTTCCAACAAGAAGAATTGGCTACCAAGTTCACTTGATCTGATTATTTTGAATTTATATACTTGGAGTTCATGTAAAATGTGAAAATTTTCTTGTGCAGTAAATAACCCACCATCATAGAACTCCTAGAATTAGGATGATGTTGCAAATCGCTAATCTATCTTTTAGCTGTGTTTATTCTGTACTAATGGTTAGAACTTCCTTTTGGGTTCTATCCAAAACTACGTATTCAGACAAAATAATGGATGTTTCCATCATGGCATTCAGATCTTCAATAAGCTCAAGTTATTGTCATATAGACTTCTTTGGTCTATTGTATTTGCAGGCATGATCAGTTAGAGGGTTCTTAGGGTACCTGTTTATCCCCATCACTTGGCGTACTTAACTGATTACTTGCATTAGACTTGATAGTGAACTGAACTCCTTAGCAACAACCTCTTCCCACTTATAGTAGTAACAGTTGGATAGGTCTTTACTTTTGTTGTCTTTGCAACAAGTGCTTCCACTTTGATGCATGCTTTTTGCAACTACTTTCGGTGCCTCAACCCAAACAATAAAGTTTACCCACTTTGACAACCCATTCTAAGTCCCATCAAGATCATTGAAATTAGAACTTTTGATGGTTTGTGTGACTTTTAACTTCAGGAGCTTATCACCTTAGGATTAGTCGAATTGCATACACGTTGATCTGAATACACATGGTTATTAAAAATATGATATTTATTGTGAGTAATGTTATATTTTTTTTACTTTTCCCATTTTTTTTACAATAATGGATATTAAAGGGTCGTTTACCAGTAAGAGTCACCATCCTCACTTACGTAACATTCCCTGAACATCAAATTGAATTGTTGGTAAACATTTTTTACCCGGTAAGTCCTAGCCATGTAAGATTATTCTTCCTCACTTACCGGATAAGATTTTCGGTCCTTGCTACGCCTCTTACCATGTAAGATTACCCAAAATATACTCTCTGAAGCATTTGATTAGCAAACTATTTTGGTCTCTGTTTTTTTTTTGCTGTAGTAGGATGATAAATATGAAGAGATGGTGAAAAGATACGGTCTTACAAAATGGTTTATCAAAGCGAAGTCTCTACCCGGTCGTATTGAGAAATAGTGTCATGAAAGGTATTATGATGAATGGTTAATACTAAATTCCTTTTTGTACCATCAATTTAATACTCATGTTAATGTTTTGATTACTTTTTGGGTCCTTCAATTGTTATTTTTAAGTTGGTTTGTTGTTTCTTTTTGACTTAAAAGAGTTTTAGATTAACTATGTTTCTTTTTACTCTCATGGTCTTAGAACAAACATCATCATACTGGCATTTTGAGACACAGTGTTCTCTATTGAGTTGTTAGACCATCTTGAGAGCGTACATGCTAACGAGCCGTTTTAAGTTGGTTTGTTGTTTTTTTTTCTTTGCCACCACAACCAGGTGCGACATTGGTGGCGGCGGTGGTTGTGGAGGAGGACTAGACACTACTCTTCTTGATCATCAAGCCGTTAACCACACCTTATTCAACAATTTTCCAGATTTAGATATATGTAAATGTTCTTCTGTTTATCCAACTTCCATACGAAAACCTGAACATGGTTTTATCAATTTATGTTGGAATTATTGGATTTTTGTGTTGTTACAGTTGGGAATTGTAGTACGAATCAAAGGAAAAGGGTAAGAGAATATGTGATGAATCAATTCATGTCGAACCACCATCAACAACACTATTTCTTCTCAATCCTCTGGTTTTGCCATCTTTGTTATCAGAAGACTTATCCAACCTAATCCATCAACAAGGAGATGAAATTGAGCATTATCTTCAAGTCCATGTAAGAATTCATTAAACAAATTGAAACATATGGATTTGCTTTTGGCAATTTGATAGCTGAAAATGGGTTTCTTGCAAGAAGAAGAGCTTAGGCGTAAATTTGCAAAAAAGAAGCAACAACACTATTTTGTGCTGATCGGGGCGGCAAAGGAGTCGGCGTCACAAATGATAAAGGGACAAGGAGGTAAAGGTGGAGAAAGTCATTTTGCTCAAGCCGGTCTGGAGGCTCGGGCATCGCATCTTAGCGCGGAGGCTCTTTGGCAGGCAAAGGCGAGGGCGCAGGAGGCAGTTTCGACATCGCTACAAGTTCAGCTGCAGCAAGCCATCGTTACCATTTTAAACGCTATGTTTAACGATTCTCAGAAATTTCAAGTTCTAACCGACAATGCTTTTTGAAAGCTCGATGATTGTTGACTGCTTGTTCTAGCAAAACCAAGCTTCAAAATCGTTAAAATTTACGGCTCCCGCCGCATTGCGCGGGTACACAACTAGTATATATATATATATAAAGTGTTACAATAAGTTTATAAAACATTTTTTAGATGCTTTAACAAGTTTTTTATAACGTTTTTATGACACCCTAAAAAAAAGATAGTCTAAACCGAAAATATCTAACAAGGACCAGAAACTTAAATAAAAGAAAATTTCATCCAACGAAAGTAGTAATATAGCGTTTACAATACAGCTACTGCGAGGATAAACAACAACCTACTAATCTAGATTATTCTAAATTTAGATTAACGACGGGTGTTTCTATCAAACACCAAAAATACCGTAACATCAAAACGCAACGCTCAAAAGTAACTAAGGCTAAAACTACAAAAGAGCCTTTAACGAACCGGCGCCCCTCTCAACCCTTTATAGTCCTGCCGCTAAAGGAACCTGATAAACAAGTCATATTAAGAAGAAGTGTTAGGCTTACGTCTAGTGAGTTCAACCGGCAGGATAAATGCATAAAAGAAGTCTTTGCATAGTAATATACGTATATAATACAATGACGTAATTTAAAACAGTTTAAGGGGACGGTAAGTCCAAGACATAATATGGTGGGGCCAAAAAAACATCCGAAGACGACGGGGGAGACCTGATTTACCATTGATTATGACAGACATATAGTAAGTCATAAATCAACGTTATAGAGCATCACTCACAGATTTAAATACCATCGACATCAACCTAAACCAGTCATGTAGTCGGTCGTGATCTTAAGCCCTTTATCTTGGAAATTACATAATAATCACAATGCCTATTTTCGAGTGGGTGAGAAAGTGGCTCGGAAATTACATAATAATCACAATGTCTATTTCCAACTTACGCCATCCTTCACACAAATGCAATGAAACAACTTCATGCTCCTAAACTCAGCACTTTATAGTGTTAAACTTGAATACGTATCAAAAGCATATTAGCACTCAGTTATCGGTAAGATTTTCTTTTTTTGCATGTGCCAAGACTCAAACGGAAAGTGCCCATTTTATCATTAACGAACTCTAAATTAAGAGCGAGAGGGTTTTAGCATTCAATGGCCAACAACACCTTGATTTAAGTAATTTACTGAGTGATTAAGACTATTTACCCAAACTCAACTGATCATTAAAAATGAGATTACTCAGAGCTCACACTTTTGACCTACAAGTGTTCATTTCATCTAACAAGTAAGTGCATGGAATTTTAGGCGTAAGGTAAGCAAATTACTCCATCTCAATTAGTATAAAGTTTCCTAAAAATGATCAAGATGAACTCACTTTTGAGGATTTGGAAGAAATTCCAATCTCTCGGAATTAACAGGTAGACGAAAACAGTAAGATTTGCACTTCTAGCTTCGAGGGGGCAGTAGCAGCGTTAGGAAAGAAGGGGTGGAGTGCCGGGCAAAACAAAGTACACAGCAGTGCCTGCTGTATGCGTGTGACTAACGAAGAAGCAGCTCAAAGTGGCTGCTATTTTGGCGAGCAGCAAGAAATAGTCTTAACAGAGGCTGCTGGTTGGCGAAGCGAACGAGGGACAGCAACAGACTGCTGTACGGCCGAAGAACAAAGTACGAATTCCGCGGTAGTTGCTGGTTTGAGAGGCAAGGTGGCGGTACCAAAGGCTGCTGTTAGAGCAAAGAAAGCAGAGGAAACAATCCCTAAGACTTGCTGTTCGAGGCTGTTGCTTACCGGCTGATGAGAGATCCAAAGGGCAGAAAAACTGCTGTTTTCTTCCGGCTGATGTGCGGCCCACAAGACAGCTCGCCGCTGTCTTCTTCCGGCTGCTGTGAGACTCACCAGACCGCTCAATGCCATCTCCTTCCGGCTGCTGTTCGAGGAGTGACATGAAAGCGCAGGTAGCTCCCGCTGCTGCTGATTTGGCGAGGCACTGAGAGTACGCAACCAGCTGCTGATCGATGGTTGAGAAAACACAGAAAACACAACACTTGCTGCTGTGTGGCGAGGCTACGAGGGAACAGCACAGAGGCTGCTGTCCGGTCGAGAAGGTGCAGAAAAATGCAGCACCTGCTGCTGTTTGGCGAGGCAGCGAAGAAGCAGCCATGGCCGACGCTAAATGACTAACTCTGGGTGCTGCCGGACCTTCCAAAGACTAAGATTTAGATGGAACTCACCACATCTCTCTCTCTCTCTCGAACCGCAGCTGCTGCAGTTCTTCCTTTCTCTCTTTTTCAGCCTTCTTCTCTCTTTTCTTTTTCTTCTCTAGTAAAGGTTATATCCAGACATTGCAGAGACAAGCTCATGTTAAGAATCCTCACAAATACTTTTCCTACCTAGGCCACTATACCTATTAATTGACTATCCACATACACAAACTGAATTGGATATTTCAAATAGAGTTTCTTAGTTTTTACCATAACTCTTGGGTCTTTATAAAGCAATTCCTCTTCAACAGACAGGTGAAAGTGCTATGTGAAGCCATAGAACCAGTTCCATAATTGATCTCCTAATCCTGACTCTACTGCCAAGTCTTTCCTGCATCACTTCCACATAGGAGGCTAAGAGTGCCTTTTAGCATATAGAATAGCCAATATTAGACCCCTTCTTTTAATTAGCAGGTAAAGACCCAAAAATAAGAGGGATGATCATTCCCAAAGAAAAGAAGGTAGAAAGGCTAACATAAAAGCTAGTAGCTAACTACCCCCCCCTCCCCCTCCCCTTTTTTTTTTTCTTACACACCTCAACCTCACATTTCAGTCAAAAAAAAAATATAAGTACACACACATATATATATATTCTCTTTTGAAAGACCCAAAAATAAGATGTTTTTAGTTCCTATTATAAATATAAACGAGAATATAATACCTCAATTATGGGAAGAAAGCTTCGGTTGCGAACATAAAAGAGAATGGGGAGAAATTTCGGGTGTTACAGTTTTTAAATAAAGTGTCGTATTAACTATTTTATGCGACACTATTTGAGAAATATCTTATAAACACAAACGTCCTATAAAAAGATGAATTTATATAACAATTCTCAAAAGGGCCCTATAAAACAGCTAATATGATATTTTATTTTAAAAACATTCTTAAAAACTTGTTAAAACGTCTTATAAACCTATTATAATGTAAACATGTAAACAATGATGTCATGTTTCAAGTCATCTGGATGCTTATTCAAGATAGGGAACTGGCTTCTTGACATGTTGTGGGTAGAATACTATTTTTTCTTGACTAATAATGATGGGTATAATATACAAGGAACTTTGTTAAAAGTTAGTGTATATATTAAGTTAATCAACAGCTAAGATGGAATGATTCATGCATATGTCGTTATTCCGTTAGAGTATTATCATACAGATCAAAAGAAATATATATACATTCTTTTGCTAAAGAAGAAAAAGGGTGGAGGTCACCTGCCCTTTTATAGCAGCCAAGACCTATCATCCCTTGTTCACTTTGTCTTAAACCAGTAAGTCATCCATGGCTGCTCCTAATCCATTTGATATGTCTACTGGTTTTCCACCAAAGCCCTTCCTCAAACCTTATCAACTCCGTCACTGCATCCAGGCTCTCAAGTTTTTCAAGGCCAAACAGACTGATGAGAATTCGATTAAGAAAGAGTTCTCCCTTTTGCAGGTCACAGCCACGCTGTGTACGATATTGTTGGGTTAATTTCTTTTCATTATTCACAAGTGATTAATCATGGCTCCTGATCCTTTCTTACAGGACAACCGGATGAGCGTGGAAGAAGTTAATAGTAGGTGCTTGGAGGCTAAACTACATGCCAATCATACCAAAAACCGCTATGAAAGAGTTGTACCGTGTATGGTGGTCATAATCTTTTTTTTTTTTTTGTCTTTTCACTGCAGCCAATTAATTAAGAATTTAAGATTATGTTAGAGAAATAATTAATATAGATTGGTTTCGAACTCCTTTGTCTCAGTTGATGCAAATAGGGTTGTTCTTGATCGATGCAAAGATCGCAGGTCATCAGCAACGGGATACATTAATGCTAGTTATATAACATCAGAGGTCAATGATTTTCTCCTATATTCAATATAATATCTTGGGCTAGCTGCATGCTAAAAGTTCTGTATTATCTAGGAACACATCTAAAAGTGTTTGAACTTAATGAACGGTTCCATCTATGATTGTAGGCTAATGCTAATCCATCTGAAAGTGTTTCACGTTTCATAGCCACTCAAGGCCCAATTCCTCAAACCTTTGATGATTTCTGGGAAATGGTACTCCAGAAACGTTGTCCAGCAATTGTCATGCTCACTCGGCTAGTTGACCCACCCAAGGTATCCAATTCTATATATTATCTCCAGCAACTTTTGTAGTCATATATATAGCATTCATTTTGCTAACCAATGGTACGTATTTGTTTCTCCATCCTTACATTCCAAATATCAATATAATTTTTCTGATAATTAATAGTTTGTATGATAGAATATTAGTGATACCAATATGAAAAAAAGTTATTAATTCATTTTCTACTATTGTTTATTGCTCATTTTAAGTTTTTTTTATCTCGGGTCTAAGGCCATTTGCCTATTTCTAAATCTATCCGCTTGCTTCCGTGCCTTAACAATTCAACATCCAATGGCTTTAAACTTTAAACTTTGAGCTCACGACTTTGCTATTGCTACATGTTTCTATTGGCTATTTTAATTTATGTTGATCTTTATTTGTCTTTTTGCATAGGAAACTTTGATAATCTTTTGCATCATTCAATCTGCCATTGACTTTCTTGATTACATCATTTACTCAGAGAATACTTGGTTAATCTGTCATTGATTTGAATTAGCCACCAATAATTTAGTCACCAACTTTTGTGATGGTTTTGTAATGGATCACCATTTAGCAACGGATTTCTCAGCGAAAAGTCCGTAGGCAAAAGTCTTCCATTTAATAGTGACATATAACAAACACGAATAAGATTTCAAGATATAACCGACACACTTTTGACTCTTGGTGGAAGTTTATTTTGACTCTAAAAATTTATAAACAATGATGAAACACATTAACATAAGGTGAAATAGAAACTAAAACGATTTATATTGTTGCATATAAAGTGTTATTTGTAACAATCAACATTATGACTAAAATTATGTCGATCTTTATATGGAAGGTATATGTATTCTAGGATGTCTTTGATGACAGAAGAGATTGATGATGCCATGTATTGAAAAATATATATTAGATATTGATTTAAAAACTACTATCCATTGATTTTGTGTCTATATAAGAATATTCGAAAAAATTGTTTTATAAGAACTGTTAACATTTCTAGTACATATTAAAAAAATCATTTGTTTGATTTTTTTCATACTTATCGATGACCCTTGTTCTAAATATACCATTTTCCTATAAAAATTCAGGCACGAGCATGACTCTATGTACATGTATTGTACTTATTACTGTCGTATAAAAATGGCATATATATGAATTAACATATACTATATGCTGCATATCTTGTATGTTGTTGAAATATATTCATACTAATGCAATATGTCATATATACTGACATATGAAATTTGTTCACACTAATGTAAATACAATGCGTTGACATAAAATTGAAGAGTAATCTCTAATATGTCATGTGACTCATGTCCTACTTATGTTGGTTATGTTTCCAATCTATCTCTTCGTGAATATATACCTAATTTCCAGTCTTAACTCTATATCCAGGTCGAGATGTGTGGGGACTATTTTCAAGGAGATAATGGTCGGGGATTGTTTGGCAATATATGTACTCTTACCAACAAAATAATAATAACTGACAGTTCACTTGAGTTGCGCCATCTGGAGGTGAACTATGAAGAGGTCAGCCAATCATATAAACCTAGCTAGCATTCTAGCTTAAGATATAAAATAAATGGTCTTTTATAGTTTATGAAACAATCAAGAATACCTTTATCTTTTGGCATTGATTACTGTACATTCTGCCTTTATTCAGTCTGAGGATCCTCCTCTGCCTGTTTTGCATATCCAATATCCTGAATGGGCTGATAACGAAGCTCCTAGTGACACCTTGGCTGTTCGAGAAATCTTTAGAAGACTATGTCATCTGCCATTGTCCCAAGTGCCAATTGTGGTCCATTGCAGGTTGAGTTCATCTTTACAATGATATGTGTATTAAAGATACATGTCTTGAGAGATTCTATATATGTATCTGAGAAATCTTTGATCTTATATAGTGCTGGCATTGGTAGAACTGGAACATATTGTGCAATTCATAACACCATCCAAAGAGTTTTAGTCGGAGACATGTCTGCTTTGAATCTTGCTGAAACAGTAAGTACTTTGAGGTCCCAGCGGTATGGGATGGTCCAATCATTGGTATGTCCTTTTCTCCAGTGTTTAATTCGATTATTTCTATACATAAATCTAACTATTATTTGACTCACTCCAAAAAAATTAGGTTTATAGGAATTAAAATGTCTTAATAGACTGTTTTATGTATGACTTAAGTTTATAGGATCAAACAATCGTGCATCATACCATGAAAAATGTTTATTAGACATTTTTTTTGGTCTGGTAGCAAGTTTTTTAGGATGTTTTAAAAATAAAATATCATATTAATTTTTTTACGTGACATTTTCGAGAAAAGTCCTATGAACATATTTTTTATTGGACACTTGTTTTTATAAATACACATTTTTTAATAATGTTGTATAAAAAATTAATATAACCTTTTATTCCAAAAGTATCCTAAAAAGCTTCTTAAAACATTAAAAAACGTCTTATAAACTTATTGTAAAATTATAGTTTTTTAGGCATATCTTATAAACCCAAGTCTTATAAAGTGATTTACTAAGAAACTTTGACGTCCTATAAACCCGATTTTGTTGTAGTGAGTTTAGTAATCATAGCTTAGAGAGGCAACAACCACACCTTGGTTAATCTATGAAAACTTAAATGAAAAACGACTCATTGCATGCATTTGTCCCCATTACAAACAAATTGATGTTAGCTTGATCGATTGTTTTATTGATAGTCTTTGTTGAAGATTGTAGATACTCAAGACCCAAGAGTAGTGAAACACCTTTGGCTAATCTATGTGTTAGTTTAAATTATTAGAAGCTGGTGCACTTTTAGAAAACTGGGTAGTTTTACTATGGCTAGAATCCGTTGGTGATTTTTGATGGATCATCGACAAAAATCCTACAAAAACAGTGAATTTTATCATTTTCGACGGATCCTAAATTATTTTATTTATTACTTTTTAATTATTTACTTGTGAGGCCGTTGGTAACAATATGACTTAGTGGACTGCTTTATTTATATTTATATCATGATACTCAGATTTTATGCTTCAGAAACAATATGAATTCATCTTCAAAGCTATTGTCGATGAACTTGAAGACCTTATCTCGGGTTCTACCACTCAAGAAAGCTAGACAATGATGGCATCTTATCTATTTATTTCCTTGTGTTTGTTTCAATTTCTTTTCTTCTTATAAATAATGGTCTTCATTTGGGGGTATATAAGGAAACAACTTCTAGATTCCTTTGGGTGGTGGTGAAGTGTTTGTATATCCTATCTTTTTAAGACTCCGTTTTGTTTGGAATTTATTGGGTTCATTTAATTTGGTTTTTACTTATTGAAACAGTTCGGAATTCCACAACTTGTTCTTTGTTTATTATTATTTAGTCTACTACATGTTAAGTATTACTTTGCAATGAGATTAAAATGTAGAAAAAGATTGCCCCTATACAAACCAAAATTTAACAGATCAAAAATATTATACCACCATGATACATTTAACAACAAAATAAGATTTCAATAAATTTTGTTGATTTTAGTAACTTTAGAAAACAATAAAATATTATAAGACATTCAGATCTATGTAGAATGAGATATTGGAGAATGCTGCAAACTTGAGTTAATACTTGTGTATTTTCTCATCATGCATAATTCCAATACTTGATTCAACTGTTCTTAAAATTAGTTATTTCCATATCTTATATATTCATTGATATTTTTCGATGAAAATACACTCGTTTGAAATTCTAATTGTTTTCATTGTGTGTTATTTTATATCAATGTTTCAATTTTTATCAGAAATAGTAATTGTGATTTGTTCTTCACAACTAAACATTCTAAGTTTTGAATATTTGTTGATAAACATTGTGCATACCGAGTCATTCTGGATAGCTAGCGTTTGAATTTGTTTTTTGATAATCCTAAATAGATATCTTCGTTGTTTTAGCTTCTAAACAACTCAGTTCAGAACTATTCTGCATATATGACTTCTGAATACATCGATTTAGAACTCATTCTTCATTATCTTTTTATGAGATTTACCATATATATCTCTGAATATGCAATAATTTTCTAAGTGCTAAGAATTTAGAAGTTTCAATGGTCAATCTAGAGTCGGAATGACCTACCCATGAAACAGATCCCTAGGTTAGATATATTTTGAAAGGGAGTGTTTGAGGTAAAATATTGAGAGATTGAGTGTTTGTGAGCTAAAACAAAATGGTGAGTGTGTGACTGGACTTAAAAGAAATAAATATAGTACTTTTTTAAACCGAAACAGTTAACCAACTAGCTATACAATCTATTCATTCTCATTATTTGAAGATGAATATTGAAACAAACGTGGACCCAGTATCGACAACTTGTGTCACCCCACCTAGCTACTTAAGTATCTCACAAAAAGATGTTTGTTTCATATATCATGGAGAATCATCATATAATCTATGTATTCTTCATTCGGAAAATTCTGATATTAAAACAAGAAAACACATCTCCGGTCTTTGAACTTTATTCTGTGCACATTGAGTATATTGAGCCAAATATATCTGCATGATAATTTTCTTTGACACTTTCACGAGTCTTTGTGATTCAAATTGCATATATTTGTGATATTGCCAGAACAATTTGAGAAGTTAGTTCTGAAACTTTACTTCAGTGATAATTGGGAGTCATATTAGAGATTCTTTATTGTCAATTTTGAACATAGGCCACACAACTAATTTTAGTTGATGTGATATAGTTGCTAAATGTGCTTCTATATTAGAATTTTGCCCAAGATTCAAGGGGAGTGCGATAATGTGATGAAAAAGATTTTTTTTTTTCAAGGGGAGTATATATGAAGAAGTTTGTAAAGGATAAAATTTCAGTCTTTGATTGTTCATGATGTTCAGGATTCTTCTGATCATCATTGGGGGGGGGGGGATTATCAAAGATATGATGCAAAGGTATGAAGATATGAATTAAAAGTGTTATTTCATGAGGAGTAACTTGATTAAGGAAGAGAGATTCAATCAAGTGAAGATACTTTCTGAACATTATTGCTGATTGTTGAAGAGTTTTTGAATTGTTGTGTTTATGGGGGAGTGAATGTGAAAAGTATTTCTAATATGTTTTTTGGAGAGATTGTTGAAAAGATGATATGTTTGCTTTAAAGAGAAATTATTTGAAAGTCTACAAAGTTTAGGGAGAGATTGTTAAGAAAGTTCTTTTCTTGAAGAAGGTTATTAAAGATCAAAAGATTGTTAAAAGCCCGAGAAAGATCATGAAGAATTGAATTTTTGAAGAAAGAGAATTTGTTACTCAAGGGAGGAGTTTTTACAATGTTCTACAAGGAGAAGAATGTACAAACTTTTAAAAGATAGATTTTGAAGATATCAAGATGTTGATAAATTCTGAAGATTGTTGCAGCTAAAAAGTCTGAAGAATTTGTTGATTTTTTAAGCTTCAATCTTGACATGGAATGCCACATAGTCATCGTGTAAATTATAATTATTGTGTAGGCCAAATATGAAGAAAATTATACAAATGAGGTTGGAGAGAGAAGTCTATGTCAAAGTGTGGTTGCTTAAGTTAATGTAAAAATTGAAAAGATAACTTAGTATTTTCCTTTTTGAATCAGAATTGTAGATATTATATGAGTCTCTGTTTTTTCTCTCTAGAAGTTGGTTGTCATTCTTATACTTCGCATTTAGATTTGCAGCATTCTCCAATATCTCATTGTACATAGATCTGAATGTCTTATAAGATTTATTGTTTTCTAACGTTTACTAAAATCAACAAAATTTATTAAAATCTTATTCCGTTATTAAATGGAGGTATAATATTTTTGATATGTTAAATTTTGGTTTGTATAGGGGCAATCTTTTCTACATTTTAATCTCATTGCAAAGTAATACTTAACTTGTAGTAGACTAAGATAATAATAATAAACAAGTTGTGGAATTCTGAACTGTTTCAATAAGTAAAAACCAAATTAAACCACCCAAAGGAATCGAGAAGTTGTTTCCTTATATACCCCCAAACGAAGACCATAATTTATAAGATGCCATCATTGTCTAGCTTTCTTGAGTGGTAGAACCCGAGATAAGGTCTTCAAGTTCATCGACAATAGCTTTGAAGATGAATTCATATTGTTTCTGAAGCATAAAATTCGAGTATCATGATATAAATATAAATAAAGGAGTCTATTAAGTCATATTGTTACCAACGGCCTCATAAATAAATAATTAAAAAAAAATTAGGATCCAACAGAAATTATTAAATTCACTGTTTTAGTCGGATTTTTGTCGATGATCCATCAAAAATCACCAACGGATTATAGCCATAGTAAAACTACCCAGTTTTCTAGAAGTGCATCAGCTTCTAATAATTTGAATTAACACATAGATTAGCCGAAGGTGTTTGACTACTATTGAGTATCTACAATCTTTCAACAATGACTATCAATAAAACAATCGATCAAGCTAGAACATCAATTTGTTTGTAATGGGGACAAATGCATGCAATGGGTCGTTTTTCATTTAAGTTTTCATAGATTAACCAAGGTGTGGTTGCTACCTCTCTAAGCTATGATTACTAGACTTACTACAACAAAATCGGGTTTATAGGTCGTCAAAATTTCCTAATAAATCACTTTATAAGACTCAGGTTTATAGGATATGCTTAAAAAACTATAATGTTACAATAAGTTTATAAGATGTTTTTTAATGTTTTAAGAAACTTTTTAGGACACTTTTGGAATAAAAGGTTCTATTAATTTTTTATACAACATTATTAGAAAATGTGTATCTAAAAAAACAAGTGTCCAAAAAAATATATGTTCATAGGCCTTTTCTCGAAAATGTCATGTAAAAAATTACTACGACATTTTATTTTAAAAACATCCAAAAAACTTGTTACCACACCAAAAAAACGTACAAAAAACTTGTTACCACACCAAAAAAACGTGCTATAAATTTATAGTAATAGTTTTCATGATATGATGCACGATTGTTTTATCCTATAAACTTAAGTCCTACATAAAACAGTTTATTAAGACATTTCAATTCCTATAAACCTAATTTTGTTTCAGTGAGTCAAATAATAGTTCTATTTATGCATAGAAATAATTGAATAAAACACCAAAGAAAAGGACATACCAATGATTGGATCATCCCATACCGCTGGGACCTCAAAGTACTTATTGTTTCAGCAAGATCCAAAGCAGACATGTCTCCGACTAAAACTCTTTGGATGGTGTTATGAATTGCACAATATGTTCCAGTTCTACCAATGCCAGCACTGTATAAGATCAAAGATTTCTCAGATACATATATAGAATCTCTCAACACATGCATCTTTAATGCACATATCATTGTAAAGATGAAATCAACCTGCAGTGCACCACAATTGGCACTTGGGACAATGGTAGATGGCATAGTCTTCTAAAGATTTCTCGAACAACCAAGGTGTCACTAGGAGCTTCATCATTAGCCCATTCAGGATATTGGATATGCAAAACAGGCAGAGGAGGATCCTCAGACTGAATAAAGGCAGAATGTACATCAATGCCAAAAGATAAAGGTATTCTTGATTGTTTCATAAACTATAAAAGACCATTTCTTTTATATCTTAAGCCAGAATGCTAGCTAGGTTTATATGATTGGCTGACCTCTTCATAGTTCACCTCCAGATGGCGCAACTCAAGTGAACTATCAGTTATTATTATTTTGTTGGTAACAATGCATATATTGCCAAATAATCCCCGACCATTATCTCCTTGAAAATAGTCCCCACACATCTCGACCTGGATACAAAATTGAGATTGGAAATTAGGTAGATATTCACGAAGAAATTGATTGGAAAAATAACCAACAGAAGTAGAACATGAGTCACGAAGAAATTGATTGGAAAAATTACCAACAGAAGTAGAACATGAGTCACATGACATATTGGAGAGTACTCTTCTATTTTATGTCAACACATTGTATTACATTAGTGTGAACAAATTTCATATGTCAGTATATATGACGTATTGCATTAGTATATGAATATATTTCAACAACATACAAGATATGCAACATATATATGTTAATTCATATATACGCCATTTTTGTACAACACTAATAAGTACAATATACGTACATAGAATCATGCGCGTTCCTGAATTTTTATAGGAAAATGGTATATTTAGAACAAGGGTCATCGATAAGTATGAAAAAAAAAATCAAACAAATGATTTTTTTTTAATATGTACTCTAAATGTTAATAATTGATTTTTTTTGAATATTCATATATAGACACAAAATCAATCAATAGTAGCTTTAAATCAATGTCTAATA